GTTGAGAGTGCTGTGTTGCAGTTCGATCTGTTCCACTATGTGGCTGTGAAACATGGCCGTTTAAAGTAGAGGGTATGAGAAGGCTTCAGATGTTTAATCACTGTTGCCTGTGTAGCATAGGCTATCTATTGTTGCGTTGCAAAGTCAGTAACGTAGAATTTTAGAGAGAAGAGGTAAGTCAGTTGATGACAATGTGAACCTTCATTGAATCAGGTGGCTGGAACACGTGTTGCGCACACCTAGCCACACAGTCAGTTGAAGTAAGTTTAGGTTAGATATCGCCAGACTAGAACTTGGCATCTTTGGCTGTTAGTTTGAGCCGTTTGGGGAAATGTGGACCTCCAAGTTAGGGTCCACGTGACAAGAAACTCTAGGTGGTAATGCTTAGAAATGATGTTAGTGGCGCAGATGTACCCAGACATTATCTTCATCCTAACTGTCAAACTAAAATTTCAGTATTTCCTAATTCCATCTTAGCGTCTTTCTGCGATTTCCTACCACTTCTGACTGCTTTCTTCCTTATCTTTCATCTGCGTTCATTCTCGCTGAATGTGTTGATATGAAGTGCATAGCAACTTGAACTCCAACGAAGTAACGTCAGGTTGATATTGTCAGTCTCTCTGGAATGACTTTCGGTTCAGATATTAATCTGAGTATTACTTTATCACCATCTACTTTCAGTAAATAAAGTTAATTCATTGTACAAAAAAATCATTGTTTAGGTCAGTTGAGTGGTTGAAATCGATTAAGTGTTCATTTATAGAACTTCTGACAGATTTCCTTACACCCTTAAGGTTGTCTATCGAATTCGCTCAAACATCTTACGTTTCCTCCATCTTGAACTTCTTCAAACATCGGAGGCCTTGTCTACCCATGAACTGAGCCCTGACCTTAGTGAGTCTCTGTCTATACCTTGGCCTTAACTTATTTTGGTCTTGGTAGGCTCCGTACCCTTTTTTGTTTTTTCAACTTTCCGTTTTGCCAAATTAATCTTTGTACTCTTATATCGTCATTATCACTTTATTTTTATATTTAATTGTTTCCGGTGTTATTTCATTTGATCTTCCTAATAATTGCAACACTTAACAAAACATTTTCCATTTATTCCAATTAACCTGTTGTCTCATTCATATTACCTAATCATTTGATTGTTTATTAACTCTACCATGTTTACCCCTTTTTAATCTATATGCAACTCATAAACAATTTACAAAATCTCACGTAACCCTTTTTGTATTATCATTCAACCTTTACATCATCAACTAGCAACATTATTATTACAACCACCATTATTATTTTAGCCTCCCATTATTTACGTAAATATCTTCCTATCAGATTAGTCTTTAACTTTTATTTTCCCAAGTTTTTGAACCACTTCAATAAACGTAGTGTCTAACTTCTCGTGATGTACTTTTTCCATATTATCAACTTTAACTGCGTTTATCAATACAATCACTATGACTGTTACTATTATTGAAATATTTTGAAAGAAAAGAAAATAAAGCGTAAAGAATTAACCGACTATGATGCCTTGTATACATGTATAAGGATAAGCACGGGAGGATGTAACTGAAAGTAATGTTGCCCATCAGCATTATTTTACTTTATTCGTAAGACGATAAGTAGATAATAGTCATTTTCGGTGATACTAAATTGTTTCTTTTAAAAAGTGTTCTGATTTATTGTGTGGAAATATGACAAGTCTAAATTAAAATTCATATATATTCCCATAATACCAATTAGAATGACCTATAATGCCGTCTAATCAAGCAAGGTAGTGTTAATATCCATGAAAATGCGCTGTAACAGCTGACAAAGACATAGTGCATTCGAAGTAAATGATTCATTACTGTATGCTGGATACAATGAATATAAACTCGATAATAAAAACACACTTTCCATGTTTTAGTGAACATATATGCTCACAAGTGGTTGGGTAGTTTCATATTATTACTTAACACTCAGACGAGTGACTTTAAGGGGCGTCCCAGCAACTGCTACAGTATCCAGTTAGGTCTTTTTATATCAGTTGAAAAGGTAACTCGTTAAATGCACGTTTATGGTACGATGATTCACACTGATTTGTTCTGATTCTATGATATCAGAGTACAGTACTAATGATGTTCTACATTGTGTTAGCTAGATATATAGTACGTGGCGCAATGGAGAGGCTCTAAAAATTACTCTAGGAAATACTGCAATAAACACTCGGGTTTCTTTATCTTATGCGAAAACTATATATTCAGTTGAAACGAAGAAACGTAATTGATTATTCCATTGATTAGATAGTACATAATAGCGGTTCAAGTTGCAGCATCCCACATAAGCACATCAAGACGCAAGCCAACAACAAACAAACAAATTGAAATAAGATGTAGAAAAACAACAAAATAAAGCGAAACAGGAATAAAAACAATAAAGAAATGTAATTAAATAGTTAATATAACTTGTAGATGAGTCTGTACCTATGTGATCGACTCTGAGCAATATCATATAAAATCTCTATCCAACGATCTTTGATGTCACAGGGATCCCAATCTAAGGGTGCATATTTACCTGCACGCCTCAAATAGACAATTTCACAGGTTGATGAAATGCTACAGTTGGATCACTCACTAACGTTAGTCCAACATAAGCATACTTCAGGAAATACTGTGCGTCAAAATAAATAGTGTCTCAGCAAACGTGATACCTGCACAGTCAAATTAGTCGGTGTAGGCTTGCAACCTAATTAACTGACCTACGTTGCAATTAAAAAATCAAGTAAATAAGGTTGAAGAAAACAAACATTCATTTTATTTAAAACAAAAATTAGATAAAACACAAGTAACAAGAGATGATCCGCAGCAAGACAGACGGCCTTGTCTTGTTTAGGCGGAAGCATTCGAAAATGCAGACTATTCTGAACACCATAGGCAGAAATCTGAGTTTGTTAGGCATACGTTTTGCACTTGTAATGCGCAATATGATGTTTTAGGACTGGTCTGCAACTACTACTTGACTAAAGATATGGAGTGAAGTGGTAGGATGCATTGAAAACTTCACTTATTGGGGGAATTATGTCAGCCAGAACGGGTTGGTTGCTCACGAAATCAGTTCCGATAGAGGTCCGTTTGGTATTTTCAAGCTGTGATTATCTCTGGAACCGGATGGCGACACATTTGAGTATGCGTTAAAGAACGATTATTCTAAACTGGAATCCTCCCTGTCGTATTATACAAATGTGAAGTATGTTCGGTGAAAGTAGATGTGAAGAGACTACAGTTTTTCCCAAAAAGGTGTCTTCACAACGTTACTCACGCATACTAGAGTATATATCGAGGTTACGGAAAAAGTACTAAACAAGGTATATCATTCAGTAAAATTTTGAACCTTCAACAACCCATGTGACTTGGATATGAGTAAAGCATCATGAGTCACCACCTGCCCCGACGTGCGATGTTAACCGAAGTAGGATTGTGGTAAAAAACGCTTAGGGTGACTAGAACCGAAAGGTGCACCAGTCTATCAATTAAAAAAACTATTAGTTTGAGCTATATCGAGAGGTGTTTTGTTGGAGTAAGAAACAATGGGTGACATGGCCGAAAATCGACCTCAACAGTACACGTGCATTCATATTTTTATATATTCGAGAGCCTTAGAATTTTCGATACGCTCTTTCGGTGAATAGCAGCGGTGGATATTAGCTAGCAGTGGAATCTAGGAGGGACATTTCGTCCTATTTGAGACTCGTCAGCTGGAAGTACCTGTCTCCCAATGAGTGATGCTTTCCCGTCAGAAATCGAACTCCGGACCGATCGCTTCAAACGCCAGAGCGTTTTCCACTAGACCACCGAGCCACAATAGCCATTACTTTTGCGACAGGTATAGTTTTAGTATTATTGCTTATATTATACCGTCGTTGATTGGACCGAATCGATCGGTTTCTTTTGGTATATGGGTTCCTGCGCGGATGCTTCGATATTGCCAGTGTTTTAACTATGTATAGTATAAATATTTCTTCTCGCATACACCAATGCCTGCTTCGAATGCACTCTCTTGTTAACAACTTAGTTTTTGCATGCTAATGTAAAATGTGCCACCTAGAACCGAGGCAATGTTTTACAATATTCTACTTTGATTTTGTTTTTCTGTCTACGGAAACACTGAGTCATCAGGTGCTTTCTGCTGTGATAGGTTGGCCTTATCAGGCATAGAGTACAACCACCCACGTTGATGGGTTTTAAGTCCAAGATTTAACAGCAATCTCAACGTAACGATGGTAACCTCGATAAGCGTATCCCAATATGAATTTCAATATACCATCGATAAACGATTCAGTCACACACCAACTAGCACCTACCCAATTACATGGGTACACAAACTTGTCGACAACTTCTATTGGATCACCATCAAAAGTTATTCCCGACAAAAGCTCTGGTTCATCCCATAGAAGCATTTCGACAGCAACAAGTTACACATCATATCTAAAGGCACTAATCGCCGAATGATTTATTGCGATTAGAGTAGCCTGTATGTTTTCGGATAGTAAAACAATATAGTCGACATACTGAAGGTCAGAAAGTCTATCACGTGGTAATAGAAATACTAAAAGGAATAAAGAATACGACCAACTGTATCGTATTCCATACATCGAAAAATCGCATGAAACATTTTTTTAAGTGACATATTACCCAGCTGAAAAGTTTCCAGTCAATCTTAGATCACCTCATCACACCTAACGATAGGTGATCATTTTGTCTTACTAAAATGAGCCATAAACATAGAGGTGGAACCAATATCTTAACAACTAACCTTCTTTACATAGACCATTATGATTAACTATTTAACTCAAAACCTTGTATACACTTTTTCAACCTTAAGTTTACCATTTGGAAAAAAAATTAAATCAACAACCACCAGCAGCAGTAGTATGATGCTTTCATGTCATAGCTGAAGAGTAAGAGAACAAGTCCACGCAGCGTTTGATAACGTTTATATCCAATTATATACAAATATTTTCAAGATTTAAATTGTACACGTTCAAGCAGTAAAATCACTTCAACATGTCGAGTTTGTGGAAAAAGATCAACAGCTTCAGCCATAATTGGAATGAACGGTATTCCTTGAAAACGTTTGGAACATGGTCTAGCGAAACTAAAATCATAATAGAAAAAGAATCCCGCCCCTTCAAAAAAAATGTTATGACAATGATGTTGGTGCATCTATCAAAGAATAAAGTAAAAATACTGGGTGATGATTGAAAGCGAAATGAAAATTTAGACCGCGGGAGGATTCGAACGTGCGATTACCGGGTTTCTGGCTCGATACTAAACCAAATGAGCTATGAGGTCCGAATTTCGATCTTGTAGCTGAGTTGGTAGGGAATCGGGTTGGAAACTCGGTGGTCGCTGGTTCGAATATGGCCGCGGCCGAGATTTTCATTTCACTTTCAATCCTCATTCAGTATCAATACTAGTCTCCCAAGCCATGGCTATCTCAGATAGTCAAAGTGATAATAAAGTAAAGCATGTCACCTTTAGTTTCGATAAGAAAGAATACCAATAAGTCGATGACCTACATTGAATGAAGGAAGAGTAGGGTGTCGAAAATCTGTAAATGATGACCGCATTAGTTCGTTTTTCATTTTCTATAAATTCAAAACAGAGTGTACTTCTACATCCTACATATAACCGTGTAATATTCTCTTGTATACGATAAATTCAATACTTTATGCCATCTGGTAATTTTCTTCTGTTGTGTTCCTAAGAAGTATATGATAATTGTCTGAACTGATTTCTAAGCCAATGAAATGAATACATTTTAAGTTTCTCAGAACATTGAACGTTTTACTCTGATGCGGTGGTTATCTTAAAGCATAAACCAAATGAATATCAGAATGTGAAACTACGGAGTTGTGCATGAACTAATGTATTGCTTATATAGGAGCGATGTAACAAAGATCATATGGAACCGAAGGTTGATATTTACTTAACAACTACATGAACACTGGTGTAGTAGGCAATGAACCATAGTTATTGTATGAAAGCTAATGAAACTACCTGGCTGCCCAAACCTCAGTACATAGAATGGGTTTCGATCCCATAACCAACTAGTCGGGAACCGAGTGCTTAGAATTATAGGCCACAGTTCCACAAAGATAATCAAATAAGAACTATTCATTTTATAAGATTCCGTCCAAAAGTAAGTAAAATTATCTCAAGACTTTGAGATAATGGAGAATATATATAAATCAGGAGGAAAATTGTGATCGTGTTGTGTTCTCTGAGTTGGATAGTTTAGTTGTGAAGCTTTCATTGTCATTCTAGACAACATCGTCAGCACAAGCTTCAGGAAGAAGTGAGCCATGGGGTTTTCTCTATAAGTAGCTTAGTAGCTTGTTATGATGGCCTTCTATGTGATTGTTTGTTGCTACCGAGGTCTTGTCTGGTTAGCAAAAGCAGAAGAAGACAAACCAAAAATTATCTACAAAATAAACTGCATTAACTGTGAAAAACACTACATCGGACAGAGTGATCACCCTCTTCGAATCCGTCTACATGAACATCAACTAGCAGTGAAGCATCATGATATATCTTCGCTCATATCAATGCACACAGACAACTGTGGATATGAATTGGACTGGGAAACTGTGGCAATTCCAGGTAGAGAAAATACAAAGTATGCCAGATCAGTCATCGATCAAGAAATATATTGACATTGACCCAATCTATCAATTATAAGAAACAACAAGGTTAAATTTCAGGTCATCAGGATAACCAACCGAAACGAATATAAGGACAATGACAAGATTTTGACAGAAGCAACCAATCACATACAAGGTCATTAGGATAAGCTTCTTAGCCACTTGTGGAAAAAACCTTATAGCTCACTTCTTTCTAAGTTTAAGCTGATCTTGTCTAGCGTGACAGTGAAACTTTTACATATAAACCATCACAATTATCTGAACAACAAGTTTTCACATCAAGAGAAATAATTAAAATACCATAGCAAGCTGCTCATATTTATGTGTTTGTTTCATATGGAGGTATGTTGCTCCCAGTTCTTTTAACAGACAAATACACAAGTTTTAAGTTATCGATTGAAATATGCTGATGATGACAAGCCTCACTAGAGCTAAGTTGTTAAAGGCAATCGGCAGGAAAACTGGGATCAAGGTTTTACACTTGTTGGCACTCACTAGTAGGGGATACGAGTGATATTGAAGCTAACGATTTTCCTGAAGAAATCTGAACTCACATCATTAAGCTTTTCGGGACATGATCAATCTCCTATAGGAGTGCAGTGGATGCTACACATTGATTGAACAACAGGGATTTACCAATTTCATATCGTCTAGTTTGTAGGCTGCATTCTAGTGATCATTCGGTGACATAGTCACCAGTCTACAAGAATCAGCACCACAATGCAATAGTACTAATTTTAAGTGTTTGAAGACTAATGGACAGAAGCTTTCAATGTAGGTTGCTTTTTGCTTGCATTTGTCCCCAAGATGTATTGTAACGATTTAGGTTCACACAGTAAGCAAAAATCTAAGCTTAAGAAAGTTCAAACTAACATCATATTTTGAAGTTAACGACGATTTTATTTTTTAAGGTAGAATTCATCACGAACTGAACGTTCTGGGTTCGATCCCTAGCAAGGTCGTGGGTGCGTACTGTAGAAGACTTCCATACTAAGACGAAATAGCTGTCCAGTGCTCCAAAGTTTTCAATACTTCTCCAAATGATTTCAGTCAATGTTGAATGCAATCTTAATAACACTATCTTTCTTTGAACTAGCATTATTTACTGGTAATAATACTCTTTAACTGTACAGCACATATACGGAAAGAAATATAATAAAATGATATGGAACTAGAGTACCAAGAAGGAGTGAAGAAGAGTGCGCAGAAAGACAAAACACACTTCTACAACACACTTGCAAGTGAAGCAGAACAGGCTGCAGGTAGGAGAGACAGACACCTGACAACCCTATATCAAATAACCAAAATACTATCTAAGAAGAGATCAACCCAGATGAAACCAATGAAAGATAGTGAAGAAAACCTAGTTAGCAAAGAGGAGAAACAAAGGAAACAATGGGCTGACCACTTCAAAAAACTCTTGGGTCAACTACCACCACCACCTGAAACTCGTCCACAAATACCACCAGCAACGGCAGAACTACAAGTGAACACAAGCCCTCCGACAAAAGCAGAAGTCCTGAATGCCATAAAGTTGCTGAAATCCTGGGAGGCAGCAGGAACAGATGGCATTCCGCCAGAAGCACTGAAAACAGACGCATAGACAATAGCGGACATGCTCACACCAGTACTGCAGAAGGCTTGCAAGGAAGGAAGGGAAGGTACCTGCCCACTGATTGGAAGAAGGGCTACCTTGTCAAACTTCCAAAGAAGGGAGACTCAAGTTTTTGTGAGACCAAGAACTGGTGCGAAATCATGCTCCACCCCTGTCCACCCCAAGCAAATTTTAATCCTCATCATCCTTGAGCGACTAAAAGAGGCTCTGGATTCAAAATTACGAACGGAACACGCTGGTAGACTGGCTTCAGGTAAAACAAATCATATGAGAGCATCAAATTGCAACACTACGCTACACATCATCATAGAACACAGCATAGAATCCAAGTCAACTGCATCTTTACCTCTACTCCATACACTCTGAAACAGTGTCGATCAACAAGTAATTTAGAAAGCAGCTGCTTCAACACTACGGTTTCACTGCCACAAACATTTATCAACCTCATTCAACAACTATATCCTATGCTATATGAAGATGCTACATGCCATGTGATTGATTCACAATCGAAAGCTCAGTGATGCCTTTGAAGTGAAGTGAAGACAGGAGTTGGAAAAAGTTGCCTAATATCACAGATCATCTTCCTGATTGTGGTCGACTGGACAGGACTCAACTCATTCATGTAACAAATAATTGTGACGAGCGAGAACATGGGCATACTCTGTTTGACCGATAAAAGTAACCTAGAAGATTTGGATTTCACCAACGATGATGATTTATATCTAATGTCTTTTCGCACTAACTCGAAGATCTACATGCGAAAACTAACAAGTTGGCAGAAGAGGCGAGGTGATGCAACGAAGGTAGACGGGACTTACTTCAGGTGAACGTAGAGGAGACAGAGGTGATGAAGACACTTACCAACAACAACAACAACAACAACAACAACAACAACAGCAAGCACCTATCACCATGAACGAGAGGAATCTAAACCAAGTTGTTGCTTTCACCTACTCACATGCCTACCTACCTACCTATCTACCTAGGCAGCATCGTTTCAACTACAGGCGGCGGTGATGGCACAGATAAGGATGTGAAAGACAAGGTCAGAAATACAGCAAGATAAGCCTTCATCAATCTGAAATGATCAGTGTGGAGATCTATTGCACTGCACTCCACTCCACTCAGCATAAAGTGTGAACGAGATCCCGATTTTCAACACTAATGTCAGTCAAGTAAGTCAGTGCTTCTATGTGACGGCTGAGAGAATTGGCATGTTACGAAAACCATTCCGAACAAACTGTGAACATACATCACCAACAATTACTTGCACTCGCTCGATACTGAGGATTAGATGGTCAGAATGAATAAGCAACAAGGAACTCACTCTGGCAACGAACCAACCAACAAATTATCGCCCAAAAAATATGCAGAAGAAAGTGGAGATGGATTGGGTTAGACTGGACATACACCGAGAAGACCATTTTTGAACATCACGCGCCAGGCCCTCGAGTAGAACCCGAGTGAGAAACGACAAGTTGGGCGTCTGAGGCGAGAGTGACATGGAGGAGATGGTATGATGAAGAAATGAAAGCTTGTGGGCAGTCGTGGAGCCAGGTTAAGAAGACTGCAGAGAAGATAGTGAAATAGTGACGTGCTATTGAAGCCCTATGTCCAGCTTAGAACCCAAAGGACAAATAATAATAATAATGAAGAGTGCCACAATTTACATATTCATAAATATCAGACTTACCTTATAAAATTTGCAATAGCACATTCAATATTACAGGATACGTAAATAATTCTTTCGATTCGTTGACACCTTCTCAACGTCTGAATAACAGAATGATCTAAAAAGAAATTGATTAAAAATAAGGCAACACTGAATAACAACAGTCACATTTATTTTGTTCAGTAACTAGTCGTTGAAGAGAAAACTGAAGTAAAACTAAACTTCTTTATTATTTTGTTACTTTTGAGTTTGTAGATTCATCTGTATTCAACATAACTAAACAAACTATAACTATATGCATACACCGCAGTAGACAATTTAGGTTCACAATTTTTTCGGCAAACTCGTATTAGTCTGTAGGTGATAAATATCTTTGAATAGCCATCAACATACAACAATATTTTGAAAAGAACAAAACCCTTCTGTCTGTATTGTCTTACCATTGACATTTTAATACTACTGTTAAACAAACTCTTAACTAACCTTCATTTGAAATACAATAGAGAAAAGCTATTCAATCCTAACTACAACACAGTTGAAGTAAAATTACGATAAATGCTCATCTGAATAGCACTGCGATATTTGTCTTCCAAAAGACAAATCAAGAAAGCTGTAACGGTTTGCATGAATACTTGGGTCACGGTAAGATTCAAATCAGCGATATCCAGGTTACCGACTTAGCACTCTGTTAACTTAGATATGAGACTCAGCTGTTAACCAGGTCTTCAGTTCACTTCAATCATTATGGATTTTGCTCAGCTGCCATATCAATCTAAAATTAATCACCCTCCCTTCATCATGGGTACTGACATTAATATACAGATATGCATTATTAAGAACTCCAAATAAGCTTTTAGACGCGAATCATATTTGTTTGTAAATCATAAACATACCACGTGCACACCTTACGTAACAATACGTTCACTCCGTAACTGATCCGAAGTAGAGTTTATACGGTAACTTCATTCATCTATTGGTATCACAACTGCTGCCAGTCTTCGTTCATGTACAAGCTTAACAGTTGTCTTGAAAATTATTTAAGTGAAACAGGTGTATCTTGTTACCAGTAAATAATACCAGTATTACAAACGGCTTAAATATTAGTAAATGAGGTCAACACAATGTAGGATATCAGGAATTCGTTTAAAAATGAATGTATTCCAATCGATCAAATGTCAACTCCATGCATGTCGTTAGAACGAAGAATATCCTATAGAAGTACATCCAGTCAAAAGTAACATATAGTCTCACATTCTGGTGATGAAACCACGTTCGATGTAGCTTAGTGGACAGTATATTTTAATGTCATCAATAATTATCAGCAAACTGTATCTACCACCAATAAAGAAATTGACACAATCGTTGATATACAAACTCTAATATCTTAGATCATAAACAGATAATGAAACTACACTAAAGCCAACAGGCGCTTTGCTTAAACCTATTTTATGCATTGCATCCCGGCTAACTGTTTTAATTTGTTTAATTGTCTACTCATGACCTTGAATCGTATCAAATACTGACGCAAACTTATAAAAGTTATTAATCTATCACTATGAATTTAACAAATATAACCAAAAAGCATCATAGTGGATAGGAGCGCGCTTTAAAGCGATCAAAACTACAACAAATTACACTACCACGAAAAACTCAACTGTTACAAATATTGCCGAAACTTTCAAATACGCGCTCAAATTATTTTGTGTCATTTCATAATCACTACTCATATACATGAACCACAGTTTTCTTGCGATTACTTTTGTTTACACTCTTGTTTCAGTCAGCTGCCGGTTATCAATTAAAATTCTGATTTGTCAGCATCATCTCGAATCCTTGAACAGCAGGTTTCAAAAAGCTGTTCTATGTGGCGATATAAAAAAACAAAACCATTTTGAAGCAAGTCGCACAGTCTAAGCTGGCTGTTTTCAACGTTCTGACTTCAGCGTAGAGGAGAAAACAGGTACGCATGACTAGGAAATCAGAAAGCCTAGTAATTGACGTGTGCAGTATCCCAGAAACCAGTATACAAGACCCTAGTGAAATGCCAAAAATAACGTTTACATCCGTAGGCTCAAGAAGGGTGTTTATTAGCGCCTATTCAAGAACTCTGAGGCATCAGCTACCCGCTTTACTACTGTTGATGTCTCAATAAGTGCCAGAGTCGAAAATTCAATAGCTGATTGGATTCCCACCAATCGTTGTTCATTTGCCGTTGGGCTTCAAGCTTCGATTCGTGTGAAAGCCAAATGAAAGCGAAGAGATAACTCTTAGTTATCTCAGTCTATGTTTCAACTGACTACTACATAAATGCAGTTAACGATGAGTTCTTCAGTCGTCTGAGCGATCACTACAAGATGCGCTCGACAAGTATCGAAGCTTTGACTGGAGATTTTAATGCATAGGTTAGGTACATGGTGCAATCCTTCAGGCGATCGATCGGGATTAGTCGAACGGAGGTTGAACAATGGGGAGTATCTTTTGTAATGAAATGCAAACCACAGCTCATATTTTAGTAAACGCCGACTCCTAGAATACCAATCAACGTCTTGCTACCTGGCTTACTCCATTTGTCACGATAATTTTCGACTCAAATAGATCTCGTTACAATTAGCCACTGGTGATGGGTGTATTCAGAACTGCTGCTCCTTCTGGACAGCCTGTCTGGACTCCAAATACGTTTTATTAGGTGCTAAGTTCATTTTGCAAATTGATGGCCATCAAAATCGTTGTTTTAGAAACAGGTCAACGTAAGCAAATTAGTTGAAAGTAGTAATTTAACTGAATACCGAATTTAGCTATATGCAAGATGAGTTGTCGAAACCCCAGAAAACACAGATGAGGATTGGTTGGACTTAAAAGGTTTCAGATTAATGGTCAGCAAAGCTGATTGTAGCTCTGAAGATGGTTACAATGGTAAATAGTGGATGTCTTCAACCTCCTGACAACTTCTTCACGCTTGATAGTGTAACCTGCAGACAATGAGTACAATAGTGCGACAGACCAAACAATATTTGCATGAGGACTAGGAGGTTTGATGGTTAGAACGTGTAAGTGTGCTGCGTGGGCTCTGTGGTCACACGAATTTCTTTCAGGTACCTTGAGAAGAAAGTCTCCCACGGTGTGGGCAGCCGGGATGTGTCAACCGCCCTCAAAACTCTGTCAGCACTCAAGTTTCCTCAGACTGCTATCCACCTCCCTTATCACTACCTACTAATCTTCCTTCACGTATCTCAACTAACGATACTATTTTGTCTTCAATTTCTCCTAGTTCTACAGCCTTCCACAACGATCTGAATCCACAAAACAGCATTCTTGGTCTCCTTAAACTACGCTCCAAATTACATATTGGAGCCTTCAATGTCCGCACCCTCCGTTAAATTGACCAAAACTCTAGCAACTCGGGCTATGAATTTGTGCAGTGTTTGTAAGACATATAGAAATCAAGCGCAGTTATTCACTTCACCTCTCCTGGTCAATATGATGCATCTGAAAGTTACCCTTCAAGTTTCTGGAGATTCGATGGCCAGTTCTCGCGGTCCTGGAGGTGTAGGCATAGGATTAAGTAGTGGGGCAGAAAACTCACTGGATCACAGTTGACGGTCTCCTATGCGCTGTTCGGCTGAAAGGCACAGTGAGAACTAAAAGGAATGGTGAAACCCGCCGTTGTCTCCTTTTAATCTCTGCTTACATACCCACTGACAACAGTTCGGATGAAGTGAAGGAAGGATTCTATCGAAAACTGTCTAGCCTCCTTTCGAAAGACGAACGTTCAGACGTGGTTGTTGTTGCAGGTGATGTCTGATGTGGCGTCCACCGAGCTCACTTCAGCGATGGACATAGATAGACCACACTGCTACCAGACATAGTTGAAGGGGGTTGGTGGAAGACTGCCGCTTCTTCTGGAGCACGTGTTTAGATAGCGACCATGCATTTTTTAGAGTGCGCATATGTCTGCATCTCAGAGGAAGTAGAAAATCTTTAGCAACAAGACCATTACGAGTGTAGCTCGATAATGAGCGCACTAAGGCCTCTTCAAGTGAGAAGTTGGCTAGACAGCCATTGGAATACAACACTATCGGCCATACAGTAGAAACTTGGCATCATCTTCAGTCTATGGTAAGAACAGCGTTGAAGACCGTAGCCGGCTTTCAAAGAGTGGTTAAAAAGAGCCGGTGGATATCAACAGCTTCTTTTGAACTAATATATGTATGCGAACGCATCCCTAGAGGCTCTGAGTACAATTAAGAACGAACGCTGTTTAAATGTAGACTGGCAAAAAGTCTACGCAATGACTGCAGACAGTGGTGGGCAGCGAAGGCTAAAGAGATGGAAAAGGCAGCGATAGGTAACAGTGGACAGTTTAGACTTCTTAAAGAAACTGGGGTGAAAAGGTCAACAGTTAGTGAGACTATAGAGGAGAAGGGCCGGTCTGCGATTCATTCACAAGGAAGACGATTGGAACGATGGGTGGAACACTTCAAGGAATAGTTCAACTGGCGTCCAACTACTACTGCATTGATCCCTATCCAGTCGGAACATGAACGGAATGTCCAGGTAGGCCCCGCAACACTTGCGTAAGTTGGGGAGGTGGTAGGCAACGTGAAACCAGGAAGAGCAGCAGGACCAGACGGACTACCGTCTGGGGTATATAAGGATGGTGGTGTTTTTAGTGAAGTTAACTGAAGTGTTGCATAAAGGAAGTCAAATATGATCCCCTCTGACTGGTCTCAGTCACTGATTATCTCACTCTTCAAGAAAGGCGAGAAGTCCTCCTTTGATAACCACAGAGGAATCAGCCTGATGAACAACGTGTCTAAGATTCTAGGTTCTATAAACATTAGACGCCTGAGTGGAGCTCGGGAACACCAAGCTCGAGAAGAGCAGCCAGACTTCAGACCTGGTCGTGGTTGTATCAACCAAATGTTCACATCCCACCAGGTTTTGGAACACAGACACGCTTTTCGACGCCCGATAACAGTTGTATTTCTCGACCTGAAGGCGGCATTCGACTCTGCCAAAACGTCTTATGGCAGTGTTTCTGATTGAAAGGGATGTCGTGTAAGTACATCACCTTATTGAAGGCTCCGTACTCGAACAACTGTATCTTAGAGCCTATGGTAAGATATCGGGTGAGCTGTGTCGTCGAATGGTGTCCATCAAGGATGCCAACTCTCCCCATTCTTATTCAATTTAATCATAGACATTGTATGGAGGTCTCCCTCTCGTCACCTAACTATACAGGGATTGATCTAATCACAGGAAGTTTTGGTAGACCTAGAATACTAAGATGACATAGTCCTGTTAGATGAAGACGCTGACAAGATGTGGAGTCTTCTGGACACCTTGAGTGACAAGCTGAGAATCTTTAGGAGGCGTTTCTAGCCACCCAAACGCAGTTTGTTGCCCCAGGACTGGTCTTCAACGGAACCCGACTACTGATACAGAGTGTAGTCGTTGAGTGTGTCGATCACTTCACTTGCCCGGGAAGTCAGATGACAACCGGTGGCTCCGTGGTCAAAGAGATCTCTGCAAGGATGCAAAAGACTCGGTCAGCTTTTGTTAACTTACGCCACCTGTGGCACCACTATGATATCAGACTGTCTATTAAGAGTCGCGTGTACTGCACAACAGCAAGTTTGTGTTTGAGATAAAAATAACTTTAATCCCAAGTTTCTGTCCATATAGTAATTGAGACTAACAAAAAAGATTCCCTTTCTAACCAATTCGTTTAAAAAAAAGTAGCACAAACTTACGCAAACCAACTCTAGGTGGATCGACTACAACAGAAAGGTCACAGTTGGTCGGTAATTTATCCAATGTTAACTGTAGCACATCTTCAGCTTTACCAGCAAAGAATTCAGCATTTCTGATGCCTGAAATTATCAAGCGAATATGACATGAAGGAAGTTCAATTATTAAAGAAAGTAATCTGTTATAAAAAAGTAATTTGTGTACAGCTAATATACGCCATAAATAGTTTATCATACTGACACTGTCTGAAAATTAAATTAAAAGTAGCAATAAATGATAACTGACACCTACTGCACACGTTGAGAGGTGAGACCCACTCGGTAAACTTGTGCACATTTATGCAGTAGGCAATGAAATATACATATTGTTTGGGGGTTAACGATACTACCTGGCTGAGGAAACCTTGGTAGGTGGAGCGGTGCTTGGACCCGTGACCCACTGGCTGAAAGTTAACTCCCTAAACCAAGGAGCCACAACCCCACCATTGGCTTTAGTGCCTCAGTGGCTTAGTGAATAACGCTTTGACTTCTTAAGCCATGGGTACGGGGTTCCAGTCTCAGTAGGGACATCACTCCCTGGGGTGTAGGTACACCCAAGTGGCGAATCCCAAGTAGGTCGAAACACGTGTACTGGATTCTGCTGCTAGCCATCAAGTAAACTATAGTTGTCATCACTTCTTTGCCTAACATCCACATCTTTTAGCAGCATCACACAATGTAGTACTACTTATGCGCACGTTTATAAGCAGCACAAACTATGATATCGAAAATATTTTAGTGTCAGGTCAGTGTACAGACAAGTTTAATGACGCGATACAAGTACATTATAATCGGCAAATAATTTATTTAAAGCGTTATATAATCAGCCTACAATAAGAAAAATATAGTTTAACACAAACATATGATGTATCAGGACAACACCCTTCGGACAATCTGATTACATACTCCATTGGTTTGAGGCTGGAATTCATCTCGGACTGATACCAGTTGGAGGAAAATAGAAAACCTGAGAGCACTGGACAGCTGCTTCATCTAAGTGTAGTACACCTCAGAAGTGGGCCCCTATGACGTCACCCCGAAAGAAATCGAACCCAGGACCTCCAGGTTTCGTGGCCAGCACGTTACCATTAAGCTAGCCACTGGGTAGGAGTCCAATGGTCCACATTTCCTACTTCTGTTATGCATATTTATATGGAATATAACAAAGGATAAAAAGTAATTGATGTAATAAAAGATCAGACTGCCGGTTTAGAAGTAACTAATGAAATAACTAATCAGGTTTCGGTACTCAGCTGGGGAAGCCAGTTCTGCATAAAAAAAAGAAACGCAATTGCTTATCTCAGCAGTTGCTGAGGCGGCCTTCAAAGTCACTTTTGAACGGAAAGAGGAAGATAGTACATATCAGTTAGTCTTTATAATATACAAAAGTTGGTTTACCAAGAAAGGCTTATTATGATAACAAATGCATAAAAGAGGTCTAAACTGTCTCACAGAAGAATGTGTCACAATTAGGATTTAAAAGTTGGTTTGAAAGATCTAGAGTACCATGATATACATATGTTTCTCTGGAGTTGATTGAACAATAGTTTCAAGAAAGTATTCATCACCGGATGACGTCAGTTGGAGAGTTATTGAAAACCTGGGAGTACGGGACAGCTGTTTCGTCTTGACATGGGACGTCTTAACAGTGCTAACCCACAACTCCATCACCGATCTATCTCAGGAACTTTAGTTCCGATAGTAAACATGTCAACTGCTTTAACCACTGGGTCGGAGCTTAGTGGTATACAGTTAGTTCACGATGAATATCACCTTGAAATAAATAAAATCATCAGAAACCTTAAACTAGACCAACTTCCAATGCTCATTACTGACATGTTTCGAGATGGATATCTCGAAGTTCTTAAGAGAAGTCGTAATTTGTTGGGGTCAATCCATTCAGAAGTGAAACGGATACCAAGTGGAGTACTAGGTTAATAGTCGTATTGTATCGCTAATTGACAGAAATAAGAAACTGTGGACAACTGAACTCCAGACAACTAGCTGAATGGTTTACATGTTCACCAAGAGATGTGATCCTGAGTTCGGTCCCTGGTGGGATTGACGGTACCCACTGCTGAGGAGTCTAATACTAGAACAGAACACCTATTAGGTGTTTTTACTACATTTAATTAATTCACACCACGAGAAGCATTTCCAACAAACTACAGACATTCATCAACAGCTGCTGTCTACGCTCGATAGTGAAGATCAGATTTCCAGAAAGAATAAACAACAAGGAACTCTGGATGACAACGAACCAACCATGAACCTATCGCCCAATAAATATGCAGAAGAAAGTGGAAATGGACTGAATTGGACACATTGAGAAAAACCAATCAAAGACATCACACGACAGGGCCCTGGAGTGGAACGCGCACGGGAAACGACGAGTTGGGCGCCCGAGCCGAGGGTGACATGGAGGAGATTGTGTGAAGAAGAAATGAAAGCTTATGAATAATCGTGGAGCCAGGTTGAAAAGACTGCAGAGAAAAGAGTGAAATAGAGGAGTGCTACTGAAGCAGTTTGTTCCACTAGGAACCCGAGGGAAAAATAATAAATAATAATAAAATAATACTTTTGTGACATTTTGCATTTCCTTCTCTAAAGCATCATTTGCACATGTTCTTTGAATCCGTTTGAACATACACTTGACCAGTATGTGTTATTGCCATTGATATTTCCTACATCAATTTATCTTTCATTATATTTCTTATAAACATACATAACAAGTAAATGTATGACCAGAATATTCGAAATGCATTGAATGAGTATATCAAATGTTCCAAGTTAACTACGAGTGCTCACTCGTTCATGAAAACTAAAACAAGGTGACTGGCAGTTTCGAAAATGTTGCTTTCTGCCATATCAAAAATACACGATGCTCAAAAAAAAATTTGAAATATGAAACATTGCACATAGTCCATACCCTCAAAATCAACATAGGACCACGCATAACTGCCCAACGGTCCGAGTTCATACACCTCATATCACCACATCAAGTAAAAAGCAGTCCAGCGGAAGATCAACAAGGAAAGAAAACTCAGTCAAAAAAATATAAAGTATGAAAAGAGAGAAAGGAATAATGAGAAAATGGTGACATTCGGTATAGCCTCGTCAACATAAGGATAATGTGTGCATGTGTGTATGTGTGTGTGTGCATATACATCGGCGCCACTCACATCGGTTCTCAAACATGCCATCACATAGTGTCTCCAACCACCCACTCCTCTTGTCACATCGAACCAGACCCAAAACACCCAGTATGCATCGCTCCACATACCTCAAATCAACAGTCAAACACTTCATACATCAGTGTCATCATGTAGTCCGGTCGTCTCAGGCCTCTCTCCAGTCTGAACCTACTTCCCCCAACATTGTATATGACAAGGCAATCGGCGACTACGCATACGTAACACATGTCCCAGTCACCCATCATCTCACTCCATGAAGGTTCACAACCTCATCAACTGATTTACCTCTTCTCCCCAAAACTCTACGCCTCACCTCTGTGTTACTCACGTGCTGACACCAGGAAGTACAGCCTATACTAAGAAGACAACCGTGGTCAAACACCTGAAGCCAACCTTCTCATGACTTCCACCTTCAACCGTCATCTTTCACAGCCATGCAGTAGAACACATCCGACTGTTGTGCAGTACACGCGACTCTTAATAGACAATCCGATATCACCGTGGCATCACAGGTGGCGTAAGTTGGCAAAAGTCAACCAAGCCTTTTGTATTCATGCAGAGATTTCATCCACCACTGACCAATACACCAGGCTGGATCCCACTCCACAGGTAAGTGAAATGGTCAACACACTCAACCACTACACTCTCTATTATTAGCCACAGTGGAGCACCGTTCAAGACCAATCCCGGAGGAACAATTTGCATGTGGGTGATGAGAAACGCATCACAAACATTCTCAAATAGCCATTGAAACTGTCCAGAAGACTCTGCATCTTGTCAGCGTCTTCGCCAGTCGATGCCAGAGAAGATGCAAGTTAGTAAATGCTAATTGGCCCTTTTGTATCAAAGTTTCGATTTCGTCAGCAAGCAGCTTATGATGTGATCAACGCATTCCACACATATTTCTAAGCATAAATAGACACTTTCATACCAATAATTGACTTTGAAACAAATCACTAAACACCAGCGAAAATGTGGGTATGTGGAACAAAAAACAATCTAAATAAATATTACCATTCGATTCTGCATTCAGTTTAGCATCGTCAACCGCACTGGAATACGCTTCAATACCAATTACACGATCGAAATGCTTCAGTGAAAAAAATTGTAAATACAAAATGAAATCTACATTTATTTGCATATATATATATATATATATATATATATATATATATATATATATATATATATATTCGAAAACAGTTTCAAGATGTATTAACCCGAGGTGATCTGATTAAGGTAAAGCAACTAGGACGGTCACGTAGTAATTCCAGACACCGCGTTGATGCTAGCCGACTAATTGAAACTGACAACTGAAACTAAAAGTAGTGATTACTGACGCCTTAAGTTGCATATAAAAAATGAAGATCAACGGTTTGTTTCGCGTGTAACAATGCACCCTTTATACTTGGAGATATACTTGATAAATAGGAAATCTTAGACAGGTGATACAGTTAATTTTTTTCTTCTACGGTGATTATCAATCAACCTAATTGACAATCATTACTTTGACCAAATTAAGTAGTAATCTTTACAGTTCGAAAATGATTAGAAGAGCTTCTTTATCCAAAAGTCACATTTCAGCATCGATGGTAGGTTGTATAGATTTACAGATATTTTTAAGGAGAAATGTAAAACACTTATTAATGTATATTACTATTAATATGTATACGTTAGTTTACCTTTGCAAGACATAATGCAATTGTTCCAGTACCACAGCAAACATCAATTAATATTCGTTCTCTTTTCTGAGGAATATCAGGAGTTGGTCGTTGATTATCTAATTCTTGCTTGACAGCTGGTGCTTGATTTGAAGTGTCCTCATTTTTGAAAGGTGACAAGCATAGACATGATATTCTTTCAAACAATAATTCAGCTGTCAGTGTATTCACTTAAATGAATAAGTGGAAATAAATAAGTGGAAAATACCAGTGTAAATAAGACACACAAAGCTTGTGTAAGTAAATCATAAGTGATGTTATATATCCGCTAACTAAAAGGTTAAATTATATCAATGCAGAAGTATAGCATAAAGCGGTTACTTGAACATGAGAGCTATTTTTGAAGTTTATGTGGATTTTCATTTTCAGTGCACCCAGTGTTATTGAAGTACACGTTAGCTACATGTACGGAATAACTTGTCAGCAGGGAAATATGATTCAGAAGCATGACAGGACTTGCATATGGTAAGTCGAAACTAACAATGTACTTTTTGTCTATATTAGATTGTTTATTTGATATGGGACACAGTGTTATTTATTTGATGACATTTCGACCATAAATTATCACTGTCCATAATCATGTCAAAGTAATTATACAACTTACAAACCTCCTTTACATAGTCCAGCAGTTCATTCATTTGTTTTAATGGTTATAAAATCTCCCAGATATCTACAATATGTGATGAGTCATTCCTGTTATTACACGAATCATGTGGTGGTTAATTCAATGAACAAAGATCCTGTAATCAATCTCCTCCTCCACCCAGCCAAACTATATTGGATTTTAGAATTGTCACCTTATCCCCACTCTGAAGCGTGATAATGAGTCAATGCATCCAGGGAGATCAGCTGAGTTCTTCACCAAATTACTTATCTTAGTAATGTCTGCCATTGTATATTTCTCTAAATGTTTGTGTTCTGCTATTCTGACTGACACTGGTTGGCTTCAAATCCTCTGTGTAGTGTTGCTGTATAAAGAAAGTATATCAGAAACTTTATGTAGAATTCTTAACTGGGATTAGGGTGGCATCTAAGCCCACAAACTCGGTCACAGAGGAAATTTGCAGGCTAAAATGTCCAATAGAACCAACTAAGAAAAATAACCTATTCTTTCAAATACCATGTAGTGATTGTGGGGTCAAGTATATTGTAGGTCAAAGAAGTCGACCAGTGTCAGTCAGAATAGCAGAACACAAACATTTAGAGAAATATACAATGGCAGACATTACTAAGATAAGTAATTTGGTGAAGAACTCAGCTGATCTCCCTGGATGCATTGACTCATTATCACGCTTCAGAGTGGGGATAAGGTGACAATTCTAAAATCCAATATAGTTTGGCTGGGTGGAGGAGGAGATTGATTACAGGATCTTTGTTCATTGAATTAACCACCACATGATTCGTGTAATAACAGGAATGACTCATCACATATTGTAGATATCTGGGAGATTTTATAACCATTAAAACAAATGAATGAACTGTTTTTCCCTTACATTAATGATACTTTTTATCTATCTATCGCCGATGTTTTTTAGTTGAACAAATGTTTTCTCATCTATTTTCTGTTTTCTCACATTCAATTGAATACAATATCACCATCAGAAGTCTAGAGTTGATTTTAAGAACAAATTAGATTACTTCGAAAAAGTTACCGACCGAAAAATACGAAAATTTTAGAATAACCAACTGAACAACTGATGTTTTTTCTTCCAAAAAAATGACATACTGTTTCTGTAGTCTTGCAGGTGAAAATAATACACCTTAAGAAAGTAAGGATATCATTTCGCGAAATTGCTGTCAATAAATGATGTAGTTGAAACTTAACAAATAATTACTGACATAAATCTGAATGCAGACGTTTATTAAAAAATTCCGTCTACATAATGTAGGTTCGCGCAATTAGCAGTGAAACTAACCTACTATGTGACGGCTCTGTTAGATTCCCGCCCGAATAAATTCAGCCAACAATTATGCAAATTCATGAGACTTTCTTCTTTTCTCGTAACAGCAATTACTGGTTTTATATTTGATAATCACTAATATTTGAAACAGTTAGTCCCTTTATGAATTTCGATAGTGTAATTAGAAGACGAAGTTCATCTGATCAATGTGATGTATCTGCTCAATACATTTCGAACAATCTGCTTGATCACACATTTACTTGTCAAGTGGGAGGACAAATACACAACAGAGGATTAAAATTAAGAAAAATGAAAATAAACAGGAAGAGTGACCTAGTTGATCCTAATCTCGGTAAGAAAACAAAGTAGTATAAGAACAAATTGGTTTTGTGCACATAAAGATGGCTTCAATTTGTGTATGGCTATCGCTTCCGCACATCTCAGTATAGGTCCCTGACTAGTTCAACATAAGACTTTGAAAGCTATTTCAACATTTATTTTGTGACCTGTTTCGTTTTAACTCAACAATACGAAAGCTAATGGCATCAGTACGATTAAGTGCGTGACGCTTCAGTGTTTTAGAATTAACTCGGATACGGTTTCTCCTAAGTGCTTTCCAGAACAGTTTCGGATATACAACTATCGAGGAAAGTAATCTCAGTTTTCACCAAAGAAAGTTTGACAGAATAGTGCAGAAACCTATTGAGTTCCTTCATCTGCACTGGGTCCTTGCATCTTTTTAATAACTTAATAATTCTAGATTCTAATAATTTTAGATGCCATTAGCTCTCGTATTGTTGAGTTAAAACGAAATATATCCACGAGAAATCATGCCCTTTATGAGTTATCTACTGATGAACGCAAACAGTTCGAGGAGTATGTCATTACAGTCGTAGAAAAACAGTCTCAGTCGGCCAATCTTAAACACTCCGATGGTCTGAAGCCAGTTGAAATGGAAAGTAAATTTCCGAATAATCCAGAAAAGTATGTATTTAACCACTCTCACGTTAATCTTTCGACAATTCAAATGCAAGCCCTATCGCTGGGCTCAAAGTTTTGCAGCAGTGCATCCAAGGTTAACAGATTACATACCCAAGTACAATTTGAAAATTTAATCAGCCAGATTGTCGGTCTTACGCCTGCATCGCCGCAAGAATTCCAGCATTTCAAGTCCACTGTTCTAGATTGCTGTCACCAATTTATCAACTCCAAAATCAGTTCTAGCTCTTTATTAACCAAGGACCATATACAACAGCTAAAACTAATCAAAGATAACAGGGATATTATCATAAGCCGTCCTGATAAGGGAGGAGGCATTGTCCTAATGAATCGTCAGGAGTATACTGATAAACTTTCCGTAATCCTCTCTGATCCCACTAAGTTTAGTAAACCCGAAGGTGAGCCCAATAAGACACATATAATTGAAACACAACTCACAAATGTCTTAAAAAGCATGAGGGATAAATCAATAATTGATCCTGATTTATATGAACGTATCCGACCGGTTGGCTCTATAATCCCACGTCTATATGGACTACCGAAGATACATAAAGCGGGATTACCTCTTCGTCCGATCCTCGATATGGCTGGTTCTCCCTATCACCGAACTGCTCAATGGTTAGCTGAAATTCTGGAACCTGTTAGAAGGCAAGTATCGAGTTTTTCTATCCGTGATACATTTCAGTTTGTTGAGGGTATTAAGGATTTTAATGCTCTAAACAAGATGATGTTTTCATTAGACGTCACTTCATTGTTCACGAGTGTGCCACTCACCGAAACTGTCTGTTATGTATGTGACTATATTGATGCACATAATTTAGACGTAGGACTACCAACGAGCTGCTTGAAAGAGCTTTTGTTGAGGTGCACATTTAATGTCCAATTCAGTTTCAATAATGAAATCTATAGACAGAAAGATGGAATTGCGATGGGGTCACCATTGGGACCACTGCTAGCAGATTTCTTCATGTCGAAACTGGAAAATTCACAACTTCGTCAAACTATTGATAGCTTTGACTTTTATAGAAGATATATGGACGACACGTTTGTTATTTGCGACAAAAATGTAGACCTCGACGACGTGCTTCGTTCATTCAATGAATGTCATCAAGCCCTCAAGTTTACTATAGAGAAGGAATCAGAATCAACTATTCCTTTTCTTGATGTGCTTCTCACCCGACGTCAGAATGGATACCTTAAAAGATCCATCTACAGAAAACCAACGTGGAACGGACAACTAACTAATTTTTATAGTTGGGTGCCCATCAACAGAAAAAGAAATCTTATTCACTCTCTTTGCTATCGAATAAGAAGTATCTGTAGTGACGATTGTATCGAGGAAGAGCTATCTTTTTAAAAAGCATACTTGTCGAAAACGGTTACCCTAGCCGTTTTATTGATAAAAATATGCGGGAAAGAAACACTAAACCAGTCATCCACTCGGTCTCAAAGAAAAGATTGTTTATGAGCCTAGAGTTTAAAGGAGACCTAGCATCGGATGTACTGAAGAATCGTCTTACCAGATCAATCAATAGGACTTTCTTCGCAGCAAGACTCCAGTTGACTTTTACCAGCCGCAACCTATTCTCCACCTGCGTTAAAGACAAGCTTCCTCGTTTGGCCGCCTCTATGTGCATCTACCAGTTCACCTGCTCTGTGGAGCAAGGTACATCGGCCGTAGCCAGAGAATGCTTTCTACACGTATACGAGAACATGTTCCTGCTTGGTTTTATAAAGGTGAAAGAAAGTCTGTTAGAAGTTCGATTCTAGAACATTTGATTGACTTCCATCACACAACAAATCCAGACGATGACTTTGAAATTATTTATCGAATTCGCCCAAACCTCCCACGTTCTCTTCGTTTTCAACTCCTTAAAACAGCGGAGGCTTTAGCTATTCATGAACTAAGACCTGATCTGTGTGTACAAAAGAAGTATGTGCAGTCACTGTCTTTATCATGGCCATAACATTTTCCCACCCCATTAGCTCCCCCTCCCACTTTGTTAATTTAACCTTTGTATCCTTCCTTTATCACTATTATTGTTATTATAATCGCCTTCACTTCAACTAGTTTCCGGTGTTATTTCACTTAATTGTCTTAATCCTTTTAGAAAACATTGACTTCATCTTGTCCAATTTGTCTAATGCCATTACATAATACTTAATTGATTTACCATTTTCAACAATTTTTTCACCCCCTTCTGAGTTATATACTCTCTATGTACCATTCCATATATTACATAATCTATTTGTTATCATTCGCACTTCAATTGTTATTATAATCATAAATGCCTATGTCATCACCCGCTCTATTATTATTGTCATCACCATATAGTGTTTAGTTTTCCTCACAGGATATAATTTTTTCCAAATACCATATATATATATATATATATATATATATATATATATATATATATATATATATATATATGATTGTACAGCTTGAAAATAAATTCGTTGAAAAGAGTCTCTTCGCTGAATATCTTGTTCTTGATGCTACAATGGGAATTATTAAATTATTACAACGGGATGTGACATAATCATTGATGCAGTGTTTAGGTTTGTGGTGAAGCATGGGTTTCGTTTTTCCACAATAATAAGATTAGCTGCGTAATTTGTTTTCCTAATGGCTGATGTCATCCTCCGTCTCAAAATGATATTACTCAACTCCTCTCTGTATGGTAGAGTGATATGGACGCTTTTCTTAGGAACCATGCACCAAAGCCAACCCTATGCCTATAGCTAAATATATCATAGAAACAGGTCACAAAATTAATATTCAAACAGCTTCCAAAGTTTTAAATAGAAACAGTCAGGGACGTATTCTGAGATTTGTGGAAGCAAAAGCCATCAACAAATTGAAGCCACCTTCATGTGTACAAAAACAGTTTGCTCTTACATTACACCTACCTTGGTAAACTTTGTTATCTTACAAAGATTAGGATCAACTAGGCCACTCTTCCTGTTTATTCTCATTTTTCTTAATTTTAATCTCCTATTATGTTAATTGTTGTATTTGTCCTCCCACTCTTCGGTTTAATATATACTAACTTGACAAGTAAATGTGTGATCAAGCAGATTGTTCAAAATGTATTGCGCAAGTACATCATATTGTTCACATAATCTTCGTCTTCTAATTACGCTATCGAAAATCATTAATATAAAGATTTGTACACTCACATCCTAGGTGATTAAAGAGGCAAAGAATGTACAAGCTACAGCTAGCAAAGGATAAAAGTGATAAGTTTAATCTGGTTGAAAAAGAAATCATTACCTCGATAAATAAGACAACAGCAAGTGCTCAGAAAACATCGGATAATCAATCAGAAGAATTCAGGGAGAATGTTTTAAATTGAAGTTGCTTATGAGTAGTCAAATTAATAAAATTGAAGAAATGTTACATGTTCATGCTACTACTTGATCGCCTTATTTTAGGCGAAGCAGGATTCAAACTTCTTATCTAGTTATCGAAAGTGGAATTCCAAGATCAATGAGTTATAACTGCTCATAGAAAACCAACCAAATAAACCAACAGTTATTTAACAAGAATTCATTGTCTGTCAAGGCGCAATACAGTTTCATAGCTACTGTAACATAGTAGATACTCGATTCAAATTGAGTAAATACAATGATAGAGATTTATTTAATAAGAGAGGATTAAATGTAAAATTAGTACATAGAGATTTTATACAAAAGATTCCTCATAAATAGGTACAACTCTGAGTTATTTATCAATCCATCGGTTATTTCATATATGTAACTTGAGAATATATCAGAGACACCTAGTCAACTAAAGAATAGAAATTTAGGTATTCTCAAAAAGTGAGCCTCAAGCAACTGAAATTCTTCGTACTACAGTATGACATAATCTTCAGAATATACTTACAGATCAGCAAATAGTACAACTAGCAGTACGATTTGGAATTATTGTGTACATTATGAATTACAAAGTCGACAAGTGGTCTCCTCGTTTCGTTTATACTTACGAAACTTATATATTTCCAATGATATTGATGCTTTCATTTCTCCAACTATTTAATGGAGTACTCTGCATCAATTAATTTTATCACTTCCGATTAATATTATTGATGCTGAAATCAAAACTATAACTATACCCACCACACAAGGAGTACCTATTGTGTTGGCTGTATTGTGTTCTCTGAGTTGGGTTGTTTAATCGTGAAGCTTTCATCGTCTTGCTACACGAAATCATCAGCACTAACTTCAGTATGAAGTGAGCTGTCGATATCTCTCCTTGAGTGATTTACTAGCTTACCCTGACCAACTGCTTTGTGATTGGTTGTTACCTTTGATTGTTGTGTTATTTACCATATAGATATTCTTGTTGGCTGTTCCTCTCCTTCACCTCTGACCTTCCCATAGTTTATCATTTTCCTCATTGGTTGATAGATTCGATCTATGTCTACACATCTATTGATTGCTGACTAACAGACCTGAATGCCAAGCTCCTAGGAATTCTCTGATATTCTTCTTTGTGTTTCCTCTCTCCCTCCAAAATTTCTACATTGTCGAAATTGAATTCATGTCCATAGTTGTTATCCACGTGCATCGAAATGAGTGACGAAATGTAGTGGCGTTTGATAGTCAATTGGTGCTCATGTAGACGAAGGCGAAGAGGGTGACCACTTTGTCCAATGTAGCGTTGACAACAGTTATTGCAGTTGACTTTGTAAATGATATTCGGTTTATCTTCTTTGGTTGTTGCATCCTTTGGTCTGCATAATAGTGTTTGCAGGGAATTTGTTGGTTCATGAGTCACACCAGTTCCAAGTAGTCTCAGTAATTTTGTTGTGATTTCTGATAGGTTCTTTATGTACGGTATGATGATGCGTTTGTTGATTTCTGTCGGTGACTTTGTAGTTGGTGATGTAAGGGATAGGCATCTTCTGATAAAGTTTCGTGGGTAGCTGTTCTTCTTTAGGATGGATATCAAGTAATTTTCTTCGTTTCTGCGTTTAGTTGTTGTACTCCGGTGTGTTCTCGCTCTTTTGACACAACAATAAAAGGAAACAACTAATCACAAACCAGTTCGTCAGAGCAAGCTGCTAAATCACTAACGGGAAGATATTGACAGCTCACCTCATACTGAAGTTAGTGCGATGATGTCGTCTAGCAAGACGATGAAAGCTTCACGATTAAACAACCCAGTTCAGAGAACACAATACAACCAAGACTATTCACCTGAGCTACAAATACTCCCCACCATTTCAGTAGCTATCATGACTAAGTGGCCTAGTGAATAACGTTTTGGTGTTTGGGGCTATTGGTCCTGAGTTCGAGTCTTACTGTGGATAACATCACTGTTTGGGAGGCAGGTACATCCAGATGACAAGCGTCAACAGGACGATACACACATCTTGGATTCCACTATTAACCACTGTCCATCATCAGTGTCAAGATACAGGCAATACTGAAGCATCCGCGAATGGGTCTATATTACAGCATTAGTGACTGATCCAATCAACGACGGAGATTCACAAGCTATAGCAACAAAACTTATCACGATTTCAGTGTGCTATCCGTTTGTATATTCTCAAGGCCGTCCTGATGAACACTTTTCGTCTCTCTCAACTGTAACCTCATTTGAAAAAGAGTTGAGTGTCATATCTCACAAACACATCTCCCAATGTTTACCTACTGGGATACAAACACATCAGTATTTGATAGGTTGATCTTTAAACTAACTCGATTGTTGTCAAAGTGGGAGCGTGAAAATGTAACTCTATAATCGCATGCAAACTATTTGAGCATGCTCGTTGCTAGATGACCAATCGTACTGGTTAGCCAGACGAAATTTAATAGGGAGTTAAGGATTCGAATGGATGGATCGGAAACTGACAGATTCATACTGTAATATAAAAATATTGACTACTTCAACAGACCACATTCGATGAAAGCAGCTGGATAGGTAAAAAGATCGGGAGAATCGAACACTTTCCGTTGCTTACAACGGAAATGAATACCCTGAAGACCCCAAAAAAGTATTCATATTTCACATGAAATTATTACCAACGTATAGGAGACTTATTTAGGACTTGAACACACAAGGTTAAGAAAGAATTTAAGTCTCTGTTATTTAAGGATAACATACCTTGGAAAAAGGCTGACATAGAAACACGGAAATTCAATCCGCAGCACTGTTCAACTATATACTGAAAAATAATAACGAACATCATAAATTTAACAGGACAACTGAGACCCTAGAAGATTAAAATGATGAACAGATGCACAAATTACCAATGAGGAAACGTGGTTCTCATTTTTCTTATTAACTGAAACGTAACGAATGAAATTCAAAGGTAATTTAGCGGAACAAATATTGGAGTGAGTCAGCGAAACACCTGATCGGTGACTAGACAGTAAGCTCGGTCTCGAACAAGAGAAACAGCCATCTAGTGATCAGATCACTCTGATCTGTAAATGAGTGACAGTGATTTCTTACTCTCCGTATTGTTTAGTAATATATTTAGCCATCACACTAACCAGCCAGTCAGTATTGATATGGAACCTGAAAATGTTGAATGACCATACAAGTTGCCACAACTCACATCAAGATACAAGGCAGTAAGATGGGAGACAGGTAAAAATCAATAGACCACTTGGATACAAACGGAAGAACCAAGTATCGATCTACGTCGCATATGGCGTCTAACTGTTCACTTCATTTAGTACAAAAGGAAACGCACTCAGCCACCTTGTGCACAGCCGTGCAGTAGGCAACGAGCCACAGCTGTTATGAGAGCTAGTGATACTACCTGGTCACCCAAACCTCAGTAAATGGAGCGGGATGCAAACCCATGACCTGATGGTTGACAATCATCTCCCTAAACCACTGAGCCATAGCTTATCTAGCAGTACACTCTCTAAGTTTGTTAAGGCATTTCTAAAACACTATAATAAGCTCTAATAAAAAAAGCATATCTAAATCAGGGTGAAGTGGTGAATGATAGAGGGATTCACTGCATAGCTACTTGAACACTATCTTGGTTGTTTGAGTCAAAGGTTCGAATCTTATCCAATATACCAAAATCTAAGTACCTGAATAGTAGTGCTATTAGTCCTCATATACCAGGTATGCATCACAGTCTAAAAAGCCGAAATGGATGTGATTACTGAACTGTATTAAATGTACATAAGATTATGCAATACTGAAAGTATACAATACTATGCGACCTACGAAACTTGCAACTTCATCAGCCCGCTTTTCAACTATCCCTAGGTGGTTTATTATTATTTCAAAAAGTCTTCCTACATTTTACTGGAAAAATGAAAGTAAACTAACATTCAAGTACTTGAACTTCAGAAATTCCTGTCAACACTGTACTTAATAATGTTGCATACCTTTTGATTTGGATTTCCTAATGGATGATAATTATCGATTAGAATTTCCTGAAATCTGGGTGGTATGGATAAAACTAGATATGTCTCATGCTGAATGCCTGGAGTCAATCAGCAGGAAGCTTTTCGCAACCTACGTCTCGTGCTTATTAGCACTCACCAGTAAGGTATAAATGTACTTTATACAAACGTTGTGTGTGTGCGTGTGTGAAGTACTCAGCAATCACACATAAGTTAGTACACTAGTTGACATGCCTAACTGTCGTAAGCCCAATAATAGGGTATAGAGTTCGAACCTAATTTCCGTGAATAGGAAGTCAATAAACGACACCTTCCTAAAGGTATCTAACACCACTAAACTCGTAGAGACAGGGAAACTGGAGTAGATGAGTATGGACCCAGTGACTTTGTATGGTAAGGAAATAGTCTACAATTTGAGTTAGTCAATGACATCTCTTGCCGCTTGTGCTTGTGTAGAAAATTACCTTTCATAAAGATGCCTGCTTACTGCATCTCTGTTACTCAATCAAATAGTTGTTCAGTTAACACTTCTCATCTTTTTGATAAATTCTAAAGAAAGACTGGCAAGTCAGTGGATGAGGTTTTGAAACTTCGTCGACTGAAGTAGCCCGGACATATACTGAGCATGTTCGACCACTGCCTACCTCAAAGTGCACTGTTGAAGGTAGTTGGATTAGATTGTAAGATGGTTTAGGGTGGCTAGACCAAGACGTGGGATCAGTCGATGAAGTCCCTAACCGCTGGTCAGAGCCGTATGGACATATTTAAACTACCTAGCTGGGGTTCTCGAGACGATCGGAAACTGTGAGTGAGGACTCTTGGTGAAACGTCTGGAAATTGGCCACAATGGCGCAGATATATTCACTCTCTGACTTCTTCTATGCACTTGAATACTTGCACTCTGTTATCTTCAAATTGCTTAATTTCTCACACAACTTTGTTTACTTTGATATCACTCTTTTTGTACCAACTTATTCGTTATATAGTACTGTGAAGAATGGCAACTTGAACCGAAGCTCTTGTATACAAGGTTCTACGTCGATTTTGCCTGTTTTTTTATGGGTTCTACGTCCTTATCAGTAGGCATAGCTGCTTACTGATATCATTTGAAATGATTTAAGGGTATGAGCAAACTTTCATTATTGGATGGATTTGCTCCTTTGGCGAAGCCAGCTTCTGAGTCACTACAAGATTGATTTATATATGGCTGAATTGTCGATCTTTACTGGCCTTTGTTGTTAGTTAATATTGTATACTCGGTGATGTCTTTCTTCGACAGTACCGCAATTAAATATTGTTTGTGAATACTTTAGTTATATTTGTACTCATAGTTTCATTTTTGGAATATACCACATAACTGTTTTATTGGACTTTGGTACACTTCAATTTTTGTATGTTAGACAGGAACAAAATTAGCAATACGGATTTTTTTTATTATAAACACATTCTGAACATAACAGCGATGAATTGCGCGCTAACCCTCTAACATCTACGATGAGCTTCTGTATTTTAGATATGTAAAAAGATCTCGATCGAGAGGATTTGTCAGACGATTGGAACCTTTAAACCTATACAAGGATATCCTACACAGTATATTCTATGTCTAAGTAGAGATGAACACTGATTGTTTCAGTAATATTTGGCGTAAAATGAAAAATTAGTCAACCGAAAACCGAGGTTATGAAGTGCTTCTGAACGAAAATCATAGTCAGGGTTCAAATTACTTAGCGCTGTAAAACAGTATTTACATTTTGCTATTGAACAAAACGTTTATATTTCGAGAAGATGCAAATAGGAAATATAATGAAAAGCATTGATTAATTCAACTTACAGTTTCACCAAAAATCTCTTTAAGATTTTCACTATACGACTTGTCATCTGACCTGAATAAAGTTATATATATATATATATATATATATATATATATATATATATATATATATATATATATATATATATAAGTGGTGTGTATTAGAAGTAAACTTTAGGGAAATTTGGAAGATAAAAGTACACACTACACTGCAAAGATAAGGCATAATCCTTTCGTCACGTGATATGGAATATGACAATGAGTACAACGAAATCAAATCGTTTGCGTCCTGTTTCTGCAGATATCTTAGGAACGCTATATCACTATCATTAGATTGACGGCAGTATTACCTTCTAATTCACTATACTCATGGTTACATCTGTACAACTTTGAATATCCCCTATTAATTGGAGGTACACAAGAGCTTAGTCTTCAAGACATTCATTTCGGACAACTAGACTATTTCAAATACTCAGGTCCAGGTGATAAATTCAACAGTGTACAGCTTACTTGTATGTAATACTCATGTCGCCTTTTGTCCAATGATACACTTTCATGTCTCTGTTAAGCGGATATCCCACATGACGACTTTAGAAAAGGTTACTTTAACCGCAACTCTAGCAAATCCATTTATCTCAGCTGCAATATATGTAGTTCGTTGTGTTAATATTTTGTGCGAAACAAACTAGCTTACTTTACTTACCCAAAAGTTAGCTTTTTTTCAAGCATACTTTGTTTCACTATACGCAACTTTTATAACCACTGTTTTATATAAGAAACGGTGATAACACCATCAGTGATGTAATATGAACATGGGCTGAAAACATTGTAACTCATGCATGTGGTTGCCGGTACACTGAAGGGAAGAATAGTTGACAAGTTAATGTAGAAGAACCACTCACTTTTCTGTATATTCATTACTGGTATGGTATGTAATATGATAATTTAGATCGTTACAAAAGCACAAATTCCACAAAAATATTCGAAACCAATCGAACATTAGGATTCTCAGGAGATCATGTGATCGTACTTCTAATTATTTGATTGGATAGGTTCATTGGAATCAGCGATAACCACTTTTCGTAATGTTCTCGAAAAAGATTACCTGTATGTATACAGATCGTTCAGTATTCTATAAATAGTTGACATTCCCATAAATCGTTTTTGTCTGATGGATCCTCTTGTTTCCGAGGAATCAAGTGATTATCATGCGTTCGGTTTGAAGACTATTTCAAAAGTGCTACACCTTACTTATGAATATTAACAAGCACGAGACCTAGGTTTAAGGTTTTCTACCGATTGGAGCCTAATAAATAACATTAAAATACAGTACACTGGTGTGTCACATTACCTCGTTCAGTAGTCACATTGTGTAATTTATCTAAAAACTTCAGGCGACCTATTGAAACCTTACGTTACTAAAATTTAAAATTAATCCGACAGCGGATGTATTCTAAAAATTGATAGGACCAAGATTTCTTAGTAAGCTAGCAGGTGGTGGCATTGAGGAAAAATTTTTAAGTATCACGCATGTGGACATTTCAAGTCTTGAGACGGAATAGTCTGTCTCTTGTGAGACGAAGGATCGTGGACGATTTATATTTAGTATCTAATAGCTGCGATAAATATTTCTGAATAAAAAAACGTTACTTCACAATGGGTGTGTGATAGTTGGTACTTGCTTATTGCTGTATGTAAAAAAGACGCCTTTCTCAAAAAACCTTTCACATTTCACTACTTATTTCATCTTCCACTGGTAACCAGGATATCTGAGATACCCCTAATGAACAAACGAGTCTTTAAAAACAGGTAGAGTGATAATACTTCTCACTCACTAAAAACCTGGATGGCAGCAGTATTCGAGGACACACTTGGCAGCTGAGTAAACATGATAATCAAGTTTATCAGGTTCGCCAGCAGAATGCTAAACCATTAATGTAAGTGTAAAGCTTGGGCACTGTGGTAGAAAACAATATCATATTAGATTTTTTACTTGATATAACGTACAGTAGTGATAGAGTATTATTTACTGGATATATCCTCCCATTTAGATATGTTCGTCAACTTTTTAAAAATAATCCGAGTTGTCCATAACTACTTCTGAATTACACATCATTCACAGCTGAACTTTTCTAGTTTCATTAAATTTCGTTCTTTTGCTTTCTGTTTTTTCAGCATTAATACATACTGTGCTGTAACCTGTTCAGTGGTTGCCTCATCCAACTACCTTAATGCCAATTCTATGTTAGGTATGATATCTTAGGGTCCTAGATGACCTACTGTCATATTGAAGTTCATTTCCTTTTCAAGTACTTTCGTTTCAGCTTAGTTTAAGACTCTTGAGGAGAGATTGACCACCCACTTTATTTTATCGATGGTTGATGATGTCTCATTTGTAATCTCATTATTTTCCGAGGGATATTCATTTCCTTTTGCGTCGATTCGCTTAACGGTTTAATTTGACTGTTTTTGGAGTTCTTGATCTTTTTGTTACATATTCATAATCTGTGCCGTTCAGTATCTTCAAAAGTTTACATTTTAGTTGTTCAAATCTATTCCGAATGGTAGTTAACTTTCTAACGATCTTGCAGATTTATTCTTTTAGACAGAGTCTAAAATTAACCTCGCCTGGTTAACTAGTTTACTAGTTACTAGCCGGTCCTAAGCCCGGGTAAAGAGGGAAGGTTGGGCATAGGGCTAGCAACCCCACCCCGTAAAACAAATCTAACCACCAAAGAAACTTCAAAGCACAAACAAAATATAAAAAATGAAAACAAACTTATTCCCCGCTGGAATCGGAGAGGCGAAATGACGCCAGTTGGTGAAAGCCTTCGGGAAGCCAATTGGCCGATGTGTCTTCTCTCCCTAGATGAAAGCGAAAGTAAACGTGGGGACATGGAATGTCCGCACCACGTTTGAACCCAGTAAGGCAGCCCAGATTGCAAAAGAGATGAGAAGGTATCACATCGAAGTGCTTGGGATTTGCGAAAGCAGATGGAATGGGAGTGGACTCTCCAAACTGTCAACTGGAGAATCAATAATCTACTCCGGTCACCCAGACGCCAACCACGAGCACACTGAGGGAGTGGCTATCATGATGTCCCCAACAGCATCGAAGGCTCTCATGCAGTGGGAACCAATCTCCTCCAGGATCATGACAGCAAGATTCAACTCAAAAGGAAGAAAGGTCACAATCATACAATGCTACGCTATGCACCTACAAATAATGCAGAGCAAGAGAAAAAGGAGGATTTCTACAGACAACTTCAATCAACACTGGACAAGACGTCAGTTGGCGATATCAAAATTCTAATGGGTGGGGCGACATGAATGCCAAACTGGGAGGGGACAACACAGGAAGAGAACTAACCATGGGTCGAGAGGCGCTCGGTGAAATGAATGAGAATGGAGAATTGTTTGCAGAATTCTGTGCATTCAACGATTTGGTGATTGGAGGCAGTGTGTTCAGGCACAAGGATATCCACAAAGCGACATGGATTTCACCAGATGGACACACTAAAAACCAAATCGACTTTATCTCAATCTCAAGAAAATGGAGACGCAGTCTACTTAACACAAGGTCAAGAAGAGGAGCAGATGTAGGTTCAGACCACTCACCATCTAGTGCAAGGAACCTTCCAAATCAAGTTAAAAGCCTTCAAGGAAGCTGGTGATAGACCTCAATTCAAGTACAACACTCGGAAACTGAAGGATGAAACTACAAAGGAGATCTTCACACAGTCAGCCATCAAGACAAAATGGGAGATATCGAGGAACATCCCTGAAGAAACCTGTGTGGAAGAACACTGGAAGTCTTTGAAAGCTATGTGGAAAGAAACCTGCACAACAGTATTAGGAAGGAAGAAGAAAGAAGACAAGGAATGGATCTCGACGGATACCTGGAAGCTGATAGAGGAGAGGAGGATGGTGAAGCAGAAGATAAACCAGTGCAAGGATGCTCAACGACAAGATGAACTGAGCACAATGTATAAAACACTACACTGGACAAAGAAGTGAAGAAGAGTGCACGCAAAGACAAAAGACACTTCTACGAAACACTGGCAAGTGAAGCAGAACAGGCTGCAGGTAAGAGAGACCTGACAACATTGTATCAAATAACCAGGTTGCTATCAGGGAAGAGACCAACACAGATGAAACCAATAAAAGATGAAGAAGGAAATTTAATTACAAAAGAAGAGAAACAGAGGAAACGATGGGCCGACCACTTCAAGAAGCTCTTGAATCGACCACCACCTGCACTTCGTCCACAAATACCACCTGCAGCCGCTGAACTACAAGTGAACATTAATCCCCCAACGAAAATGGAAGTCCTGAACGCCATAAAGCTACTGAAATGCGGGAAAGCAGCAGGACCAGATGGAATACCGCCAGAAGCACTGAGAACAGATGCAGAGACAACAGCGGACATGCTCACACCACTATTGCGGAAGGTGTGGAAGGAAGAGAAGGTACCTGGCTAGTGATTGGAAGAAGGGTTACCTTGTCAAACTGCCGAAGAAGGGAGACCTCAGTGCTTGCAAGAACTGGCGCGGAATCACTCTCCTGTCCACCCCAAGTAAAATATTAAGCCGCATCATCCTGGAGAGGCTAAGGGATGCACTGGATTCAAAACTACGACCGGAACAGGCAGGCTTCAGGAAGTACAAATCATGTGCAGACCAAATTGCAACGCTACACTACACATCATCATAGAACAGAGCATAGAATGGCAATCAGCTCTCTACCTCAACTTCATCGACTTTGAGAAGGCCTTTGATAGCGTCGACCGACAAGTAATTTGGAAACTGCTTCAATACTACGGAGTACCGCAAACCTTTATCCGCCTCATTCAACAACTATATGAAGATGCCACATGCCAACCAAGTAATTCACAATGGGAAGCTCAGTGATGCCTTTGGGGTGAAGTGAAGACAGGAGTGAAACAAGGTTGCCTACTATCCCCCATGATATTCCTTATTGTGGTGGACTGGATCATGCAGCAAACAGTAGGCAGAGAGAAGAGGGGGATACACTGGACTGCGGAAAAGAACCTAGAAGACTTGGATTTCGCCGATGACTTATGCCTAATGTCACATAAACTTGAAGATCTGCAGGCAAAAACTAACAAGTTGATAGAAGAGGCAGCTAAGACGGGACTTCAGGTGAATATAGAGAAGACAGAAGTGATGAAGATACCGCACCACCACCATCAACAACAACAACAAACTCCAATCACCGTCAACGGGAGAAACTTAAAGGAAGTAACCTCCTTCACTTATCTAGGAAGCACTGTTTCAACTACAGGCGGGACGGACGAGGACGTCAAAGTCAGAATCGGAAAAGCAAGACAGGCGTTCATTAGCCTGAAACCAGTGTGGAGATCTTCTGCACTCAGCATGCGGAACAAGATCCGGATTTTCAACACAACCCAGTCAAGTCAGTGCTCCTGTATGGCTCAGAGACTTGGCGCGTCACGAAAGGTATTTCCAATAAACTACAGACATTCATCAATAACTGCTTACGCTGGCTCGCTACTGAAGATCAGATGGCCAGAAAAAATAAGCAACAAGGAACTCTGGGAACGAACCAACCAAGAACCTATCACGCAACAAATATGCAGGAAGAAGTGGAGATGGATTGGTCATGCACTGAGAAGGCCGACGGAGGACATCACGCGTCAGGCCCTCGAGTGGAATCCCCATGGGAAGCGACGAGTTGGGCGTCCGAGGTGAGGGTGACATGGAGGAGGTCGTGCGAGGAGGAAATGAGAGCTTGTGGGCTGTCGTGGGACCAGGTTCAAAAGATCTCAGAGAACAGAGGTCACTGGAGGCGTGCTACTGAAGCCCTATGTTCCACTAGGAGCCCAAGGGACTAATAATAATAATAATAATAATAATAATAATAATAATAATTGCCTTTTTGATTTTGTCAGCAGATATTGGAATACATGGACAAAGATATTTAGGAATAATTTGATTTTTCATACAGAGAATAGTGTGGAACATGTTTCAGTTTATGAAAGTTGTGTATATATATATATATATATATATATATATATATATAATGATTATATACTATTATTATCATATTGCATATTTGTAAATATAAATCGGCGGCCTACTTCAATCGAATATATTCCATCAAATTCTTCCTTTTCTGTTTGTTTTAATCTTTTTAATCTGTCTTCTAAGCGTAGCTCTAGTACCTTTCTAAAATGTTTTCTGTCATTCTCAAGAATGAAACAGAAAAGACGTGAATCCAGATAGAAATGGATCAACAAATGGTCAAGAATACAACACAGTATTATTCCTAGCATACCCTATATCGAATTGAAGATTTTTGTACTGGCTAGTTGAAACTATCACCAAAGTATAATTACACTCGATTTTGTATTCATACTCAAATAGTCCAGACCAAACGCTGATGTAAAACCAGCTACGCGTTTTGCATTAATGCCTTCAATATTATTATCATTGAAACTGTTCAGATGCAATAATTATTTGTTTTAAAAATATTGTACGGGGAGCCTTTTTGTTGAAATATCACCTGCTGAAAATTTTATAATATTGTTTGGAATAAAGCGATTATTATTATTATTATTATTATTATTATTACTATTATTATTATTACTAACTATGTCAGCGCTGAACACTCGTGCGCCTAGAAGACGGAATTTATCTAATAAATGTGTTTTAGTTGCACTATATCATTTGATGGGATATTTACTTATCAGGGCATTTTATATGAAAAATGATAATGGAAGGCGATCAAATAAAACAATTTGATAATCAGACAATATGAAAGATTGTCATCACGACATATATTTTTTGAATTCGGAACGTTAACTAACTTACTGTGTACGAATAGATAAATGTAGACTAGTTAAACCAGAATTTAAGCCAGGACCCGCTTGAAACCATTTCTGTAACTCGATTGACAAACAGTCTATATCATCCTAGGGTAAGAATATACCATACTATATCCAGTTTCCACGATGACAGAGATAGTAATAATTATTATTATAGATGAAATTATTGCAATAAAAAGCTGACTGAATTTATACTACTCTACATACTATGTCAATTCCCGGCTTTTTAAAAAAATCATCTTCTGGCTATCCGATAGGTAATAGAAAAGCTAATATCCTCATATATATATATATATATATATATATATATATATATATATATATATATATATATATATATGTATATATATATAATATATTGATGACCGTTAACCAATAATTCTGTATCCTCATTCGGTATTCGCAACGCAACAACTTTCACATGTAAGGTGATCAGTGTTTAAGACAAAATCGCGTACTAAGATCAAAATCACTGTCAACAACAGCCAATAAAATGTCCCGGCAACAGAGGACATAAGACACTTAAACAGTTTTATCGATGGTTCTACAAACTTATTCATTCAAATTAAACTTGACTCATAAACATTAACCTATTTCTGGCCTATATGATAGATGACATTCAAATATAATTTTCAAAAATACTATCCAGCATTATTACCCCGGTAAGTCCATCCCCATTGATATAGACAACAAGTAATGTGTCTCCAGATCTTGATTCACGAATAAGCACTTGACGCCAATGTCCTTTTTGTGTAATCGGATCAAAAGCAATAAGTTTGGATAAATTTTTCAATTCTCCTCTAGAGCAGGTATTTATAAATTCTTGTAAAGTATCAATAATTTTGGATGACTTTTTAGGTAGAAAATTCCAACTTTTATATGATCCAACTGCAACTGAACCACCCTTGTATTTTGAATAACGAAAACCAATGATAGGTCCTTCAGGAATGAAAAGAATAAAGATAAAGGAAAAGAATTATCATTTTCAGTTATTAGTGAATACATAGCTGTTTAAAAGCCAAGCGTTATAAGTGCGAAGAATAGCACAAGAGGGGAAGCTAATAGTCTTGAATACAGCCTGTAGTGAAATTTCACGGTAGTAGGATACAACGCTGCATTACTTTACAAGCCAATACATGAAAACAATGAACTTACGTAGAACAATCAAATTAATATATGATTTAAATCTATGATATGGTTTAAAATGGGTCACGGACTTTCATCTTCACTTTATATTCCTCTACATATAGAACATGCTAATACATCACTAATGCATGGAGCTGTGGTTCATCGGTTAGGTGATACTTGGCTCTATAGACCTCGGTGGGTGAAGTGGCGTTCAAACTCGACCCAACAGTTACAATCGAGTCTCTAGACCAATGAGCCATAACTCCTCCAAGGCATGTGTAAGTCTGGGTCTCACTGGTCGCAGAAAACAGACTGTATTGAACCCTGTCCATTGCTCGATTGGAGGATGAGAATACCAAGTAAGCATTTAAGGAAGAGATAAACATTTATCTGAACTTGACAGCAATGCTCATCCTGAAGAAATCGCTGTAGGAACAGAGGTAAAGACAGTTGGTAACTTACATCTAAAGGTTAGCAAACGTAAATGGAATGCCTCAACGTCATTCAAACTAATTGAAGCGAAAAGACCGATTTCAGCTGGCTCTGACCACAACGAGAAGTGAAAGCAACCTATGCACACATTGACTAACGGTCTTTGCAATGATAGTGAGCAGTGAGTGGGTGGCGAAAGCAAGAGAGATAGAGATGGTATCAGTACCAAGTACCCATCGGTAATTACTTAAGTTTGCTAGAGATGCAGGCCATAAGGAACGATGATTAGAAAAACCATCAAAAAGAATGGGACAATGATAATCTCTCAGAACAGGCGGCTAGAATGTTGGGCAGACCACTTTGAAACATAGTTCAACTGGCTGACAGTAAAGCTTCGCTTCCCAAACATCCAGCCTGAATGGGATGTAAACTCCAGTCCTTCATCTCTCCTTGAAGTTGAGAAAGCTGTATCGAACCTGAAACCGTGGAAAGCAGTAGGGCCTGACAGTTTGCCATTTGAAGTTTTCAAGGATAGAGGTAGGGAATTGGTAATTAGAATGATGGGATTACTAGGTAGTGTATGGGAATCAGAAGCAGTGCTGTCAGAGTGGTGTACTTCCCTGATCATCCCAGTCTATAAAAAGGAGAAAAACCTTCTTGTGACAACTATTCAGGAATCAGTTTAACTAACATCAAGTTCAAAATCTTTCGGTCCATAATTACCCGACGCCTGACTGTAGCTCGATTACAGCGAACTTGGGAAAACCAGGCAGGTTCCAAAACTTGACGCGAAAGTACATCGATAGATCTTTAACTTCCCACAAGTTACAGAATACAGGCATATCTCTTATCGCTTGGCATTTGCTAAATTTCGTGTCCTGAAGGCTGTATTCGTTTCTTCTGACCGTGAGATGTTGCGTTGCTATCTGGCTATAGAACGAGTATCAAGCAAGTATGTTACGCTAACCAAAGCTCTTTGCTTGAACTCACGTAGCTATATAAGGGCTAATAGAGAGTTGCATTTGAACTGACGACAACCAGTGGTGTCGCTAGAAATCTTTGCTGTCACCATTCCTACTCAAATGCGTTATATGTGAATTAATGGACATAACCCCTAGGTATGTATGACTTGATAGGGATCGGTCTACTCTCTGGAGGGCCTCTGGTCGACTTGGAGTACGCAGACGACATTATCCTGCTAGGTGAGTACGCTGACAAAGTGCAGGATCTTCTGAATGCGTTAAGCAGATATCTGAGTTCGTTTGGCGTGCATACCGCACCTGTCAAACGTAAGATGATGCTTCAGGACTGGTCTTCAACTATTCCCAGTTTAAGGATAAGAATTGAAGTGGTGAAATACACTGGCCAGTTTACTTACTTGAGGAATTACATCAGCCTGAGTAGGTTGTTAACTGACGAAGCTGCAGCTCGGATACAAAAGGCCCGTTTGGTATTTACCAACTTACGTCATCTCTGGCACCGGCTGACGAGATATCCGACTACTAATTAACCTACGGGTATATTACGCTGCAGTCCGTCCGGCCCTGTTATACAGACATGACGCATGGTCGTTGAAAGCAAGAGATCATAAGAAACCATAAGTGTCTTCGTAACATTGTTCACGTAAGGTGGAATCACTAAGTGAGCAACGTAGAGGTCACGCGAAGGGTACTAGGAAAGGAAGGGATGTCACTAGATAAGGTTGTGAACCTGAACCGACTGAGATGGCTTGTATATGTACTGCGAAACCCAAGACACTAACTGCCTAGAAGTGCAATGGTAGAAGAGATTGGAAGAGGATCAAATGTGACCAAACTAAGACATGGCATGAGTCCTTGAACTCTCTGAATGTTGGCTTGAGTAGCGTAGAAAGATGTCAATTCTCTGGTTGACGGTCGCCGAGACCACGGGAATCAGTGGCTGAAGACTCTTGGTAAAATGACTAAAACTTGATAATAATGGCTCAGGTCTCTTTACTCTTTGACGTCTTCAAAAGCTTGAATATTTCCACAAACTATCATTTACGCTCTGAACACCTTCATCTACTTCATATCACTTTTTTTTTATCCATGAGCTTGAGAAATGTAGCAACTTGAAGCGACGTACATTTGTGCGAAGTTCTGTGTTTATTTTTTCTCTGCCTTCTCCGAGATTTGGGCAATCAGGTAATATACATGATCCTCAGACAAGAGGTGTGGTTCACTGTCTAAAGGAAGAACCTACATGTGGATGTTCAGCTATGTCCCCAAAATAATTCTTTCGGTTGCTGTCTTCTTGTAACTCGTTCCCAGTGGCTTACAACTTTTCTATGTCACTTATTTCCGTTTACCGTGTAATGTGAAGTAACCGTAACTACGAATATCTCACTACGTCCTGTGTTATTTACATGAAGCGGAGAAATATCCTTCACGTCTACCTACCTAGTCTATCACAGACACACACTGAACGGTGGAACTCCAGTATCATTGAGTTACAAAGTAATAACTACGATGGAGAAAACTATTTTGAAAGACAGAGTCAAATATATCATACAAACGTTCATAATTTACACCATGACAACAAGCAGAATTCACATCCACACAGTTATTATCCATCCATCCATACAAGTCAATACAGAACAACCAACTACTGCCCAACGGACTGAGCTCACACACCTCATATCACCACATCAAGTAAAAAGCAGTCCAGCGGAAGATCAACAAGGAAAGAAAACTCAGTCAAAAAAATATAAAGTATGAAAAGAGAGAAAGGAATAATGAGAAAATGGTGACATTCGGTATAGCCTCGTCAACATAAGGATAATGTGTGCATGTGTGTGCATTAAATCGGCGCCACGCACATCGGTTCTCAACCATGTCAACACATAGTGTCTCCAACCACCCACTCCTCTTGTCACATCGACCCAGACCCAAAACACCCAGTATGCATCGCTCCACATACCTCAAATCAACAGTCAAACACTTCATACATCAGTGCCATCATGTAGTCCGGTCGTCTCAGGCCTCTCTCCAGTCTGAACCTACTTCCCCCAACATTGTATATGACAAGGCAATCGGCGACTACGCATACGTAACACATGTCCCAGTCACCCATCATCTCACTCCATGAAGGTTCACAACCTCATCAACTGATTTACCTCTTCTCCCCAAAACTCTACGCCTCACCTCTGTGTTACTCACGTGCTGACACCAGGAAGTACAGCCTATACTAAGAAGACAACCGTGGTCAAACACCTGAAGCCAACCTTCTCATGACTTCCACCTTCAACCGTCATCTTTCACAGCCATGCAGTAGAACACATCCGACTGTTGTGCAGTACACGAGACTCTTAATAGACAATCCGATATCACCGTGGCATCACAGGTGGCGTAAGTTGGCAAAAGTCAGTCGAGCCTTTTGCATTCATGCAGAGATTTCATCCACCACTGACCAATGCACCAGGCCGGATCCCACTCCCCAGGTAAGTGAAATGGTCAACACACTCAACCACTACACTCTCTATTATTAGCCACAGTGGAGCACCGTTCAAGACCAATCCCGGAGGAACAACTTGCATGTGGGTGATGAGAAACGCATCACAAACATTCTCAAATAGCCACTAAAACTGTCCAGGAGACTGCATTTTGTCAGCGTCTTCACCTAACAGGACTATGTCAAGTCATCTGCATATTCTAGGTCAAACAAAAATTCTCCCGTGATTAGGTCAACCTCTCTGTGTAGTCAGGTGACGAGAGGTCGGTTTCCATAAGAATATCTATCATAAAATGCAATAAGAATGAGGAGAGTGGACATCCTTGATGGACACCATTCGACGACACGGCTCACCCGACATCTCATCATAAGCTCTAAGATGCCCACAGGTGTTCGAGTACGGAGCCTTCTATAAGGTGATTTACTTACACGATATTCCTTTCGATCAGAGACTGCTATCAGACTTCTCTTTACGGCAGACGAATGCCGTCGCCTTCAGATCGAAAAATACAGCTATTATCGGGGGTCGGTAAGCGTGCCTGTATTCCAGAACATGGTGCAGTGCGTCGATACACCCACGACCTGATCTAAAGCCTGCCTAGTTTTCTGGGGCTTGGTGTTCCCGAGCTCCACTCAGGTGTCTAATGTTTATAGAACCTAGAATTTAAGACACGATATTCGTCAGGCTGATTCCTATGTGGTTATCAAAGGAGTACTTGTCGCCTTTCTTGAAGACTGGAATAATAAGTGCTTTAGACCAGTCAGAGAGGGTCGCATTTGATTCCCATATACTAGTTAACACTTCCGTTAACCTGTCTAGAAGCACTTTATATATATATATATATATATATATATATATATATATATATATATATATATATATCAAATATAAATTAAATGTGTAAGATGCATATGATTTCAAACGATCAGATTCAACTTGCCTGAACCATCCACATCGTAGCCAATAGTTAGTTCAGATTTATTTCGATATTGTGTTTGAACAGGCTATTATTAAAAAAAAAGTAAAATGAGTTTCAATCAATTTATGGATATTCAAACCAATTTAGAGTATGATATAAATGATGGGTGGTGGCTGATAGTGGAATCCAGGATGCCCCTTTCGTCCTATATGGAACTCGTCAGCTGGAGGTACTTGCACCCCAGTGAATGTTTTTCCCACTGAGACTCAAACCTCGTACGTACCGCATCAAACGCCAGAGGGTTATCCACTACACCACTAAGTCCTAAATGGGACGAAACGCACGTTCCGGATCCCACTACTAGCCACTAACCATCATTAATATATAAACTAAAAATCTCGGCAACATCGGGGTATCCACAGAGAAGCCCATATGCCAATAGTGGCCAATCAATTCGGTCCAATTAACGACGGAGATTCACAAGCTATAACATCAAAGACAATTTGGAATTTGTTGGTTTGAAGAATGTGGGCATGGGGTGGAATGATGTTCAGTACTTTGGTGTCTCCTAGTGGATGAAAAACAGCTTTGAGAAAGTGTAGAAGATTTGTAGCTTAAGATAAGGATGATAGTTGTTTAATGTTCTCTGATATTTGAGGTTTGTCACAGGATTTCTACCCAATGCCTCGACGGTAATATGCTCGTCACGAGACATGGAGGCTCATGGGTCTGCACTGATGAGGAGTACCACACTAGGACGAAACAGATGGCCAGTGGCACTCAAGTTTTCAGTTACTCTCCAGCTGATTTCATTCCATGATGGATATTACCTTAAGATTAATATGTGCATAAGAAAAGCCTCAAAGCCAGAAGAATACCAAACGATTTTGTTTTGCTTTCCATTATTCATCGAGAAACTCAAAACAAATTTCAACCGTAGAAAAAAACTTTGAAAATACACAGTACGGTTATTAGATGCAGAGATGCCGTCAGCAGGGTGCATTGCTTAATCTAGCTTTCATGCTGGTCAGTACACATCATCCAGGAGTATATGATGGACTTAAGGTAATTCATGCTCCTTCGAGTATTAAAATCTGTCCTTCAGTATCGATGATCGAGATAATGACGCTAAATTGATTAATGGCATGACTGATTACCTGCTTAGAAGGAATTATATGCAAGATATGGGAAACAAATGACAATCAATACCGTTATCAAGCTAAATGGGCTGGGGAAAGTTTTAGTAATTATGAATCCAATGTTTTTTGGTTAAACTAAGTTACACGATACTGCGGAGCACCCTAAAGTTAATCTCAACTAATAACTACTTACAGCTGAGGTGTTCGTATTGTTATCACTGGCTTGTTGCCCACTTAACAGAAGTAAAGACGCCGATTGGCCACCTAAAACGCTGATTCCATAAATTTAGACCTAGGTAGCATCTATAATCCTAACAAAACATTTGACGCAAATATACCTGTGCTTACGAATAGTTTAAAAGAACAGTAAAACTTACAGATGGAATTATAGGTGCCAGTTTACATATAGTTGGTCGACCTTCTGAGTCCAACTCCTCTCTAATGAATCCAATAGACAGAGATGAAAAAGTCAATTGAAAAACAAATGATGAAAGACAAAACAAAGTCAGCCAAGACCAACAACTACACAATAACAAGTAATACAATAGACAGAATTAACAGAGATAACCATGTTACACTACTTTTATCAAACAAGTTGTATGAGTCAGTAATAGGGTGGAAATAACTTCGTAGACATTCACACGAAGAAGAGGTTGAAGGTTTTGAAAATATCGCATATCAGGGAAATAACATTCGCTATCCAATGTCAACAGCTTTTTCGAAGTAGTAGGAAAATGGAATTAATACTATCAAAGCTTATGTAGGATAACTTGACTACAATACTTCCCGCTTGGCTAACTCTGGATTGTCAACCAGTCGAGAAAAAAATAGCAAATATGTGCAGTATATGTTCAACAAGTGCTATTTAATAAGTGGAATCGAAATCTGTGAATAAGAATCTCGTAGCTCAATAGGCGAAAAACCAGGCCGATAACTCAGAGGTCGCTTGGTGCGAATTCTGCCACGGTGTAGATTTTCATTTCACTCTCAATCTTTACCCAGTACAAGAGAATAAAAACTCAAACATTGGTTTGTTAAACACAGAAAACAATTAAAACTCACGAATATTTCACACTTTCCATATCTAAGATCTCACGATTAGTTATCAGTAACTGTCTCCTTGTCTCAGCTAAACATTTTAAGACGCCGTTTCTTTTCTCAACCAACTGATCAGGATCATAATTTAAACGCCATAATGGAACGATGGAATCGCGAAGACTACAATTTTTACATAAAGTGAACATAACACAGATAGTAAGAATAAAATGAAAAAGAAAGAAGCACAGGAACATCATCAATAAGTAATATATTTAAACACAACCTATAACCAAGATGTTCTCACTTTGCGCTCAATACTTTCGATACTATGCAGTCAAGTCTTGAGCACAGCTCATAAAAATAAAAAAACTATTGCATAACTTCTGTGTAAAACACAACTGTAAGCGGCGCGTTTTGGCTTCAATTCCACCGATAACTTTACACATCCATATATACTTATGTGAAATTCAAAATTTGGCTTAATATGACTGTTAGTCATAGATCATTGAGAGGAAGTATGTCCATCATCATCATCATCTATCAACAATGAACCACGCATAACTGCATAACGATGAGAGTTCACACACCTCATATCACCACATCAAGTAAAAAGCAGTCCAGCGGAAGATCAACAAGGAAAGAAAACTCAGTCAAAAAAATATAAAGTATGAAAAGAGAGAAAGGAATAATGAGAAAATGGTGACATTCGGTATAGCCTCGCCACTCACATCGGTTCTCAAACATGCCATCACATAGTGTCTCCAACCACCCACTCCTCTTGTCACATCGACCCAGACCCAAAACACCCAGTATGCATCGCTCCACATACCTCAAATCAACAGTCAAACACTTCATACATCAGTGCCATCATGTAGTCCGGTCGTCTCAGGCCTCTCTCCAGTCTGAACCTACTTCCCCCAACATTGTATAACGAGGCAATCGGCGACTACGCATACGTAACACATGTCCCAGTCACCCATCATCTCACTCCATGAAGGTTCACAACCTCATCAACTGATTTACCTCTTCTCCCCAAAACTCTACGCCTCACCTCTGTGTTACTCACGTGCTGACACCAGGAAGTACAGCCTATACTAAGAAGACAACCGTGGTCAAACACCTGAAGCCAACCTTCTCATGACTTCCACCTTCAACCGTCATCTTTCACAGCCATGCAGTAGAACACATCCGACTGTTGTGCAGTACACGAGACTCTTAATAGACAATCCGATATCACCGTGGCATCACAGGTGGCGTAAGTTGGCAAAAGTCAGTCGAGCCTTTTGCATTCGTGCAGAGATTTCATCCACCACTGACCAATGCACCAGGCCGGATCCCACTCCCCAGGTAAGTGAAATGGTCAACACACTCAACCACTACACTCTCTATTATTAGCCACAGTGGAGCACCGTTCAAGACCAATCCCGGAGGAACAACTTGCATGTGGGTGATGAGAAACGCATCACAAACATTCTCAAATAGCCACTAAAACTGTCCAGGAGACTGCATTTTGTCAGCGTCTTCACCTAACAGGACTATGTCAAGTCATCTGCATATTCTAGGTCAAACAAAAATTCTCCCGTGATTAGGTCAACCTCTCTGTGTAGTCAGGTGACGAGAGGTCGGTTTCCATAAGAATATCTGTCATAAAATTCAATAAGAATAGAGAGAGTGATCAATCCATAAAAGAAATTATGTACATCATAATTTTCATATATGCCTAGCTGAAAGCTTTGGTTGGATTCCTAATTAAGTACAGCATGCGTTATGGAAAGTTGAGTCTTTCGATGAGAATTTAAACTCTGGAATATTACATCATAACAGTATCCCCATAAACATTAGAAAGTTAATCGATGTTTCATATTCACTGCACTATCTACTCGGTCAACATAAGTATTAGGAAAAACTTCATAGAAGATAATATAAGAACAATAAAAGGATGCGAATGAAAAAAGCACAAATAAAAAATTCCACAATGACAGGCACACATAGATTCTTGCACTAGACAATTATCTGGACGTACTATATGTGTGCTGGTTGTTCAGATCATGGTTCGAACCCACAACCCACTGGAAGGTAACTTTTTTACGTCGGCAAAAGTTACAGTTTCCCAAAAGTATTCAGTACCAACTAACTTTTAAAGATAAAGGAGATAAGATCGCATCAGATAAGGAATAAAACAATGGTCAGATACTTCGAGTCTTACGAGGTACATTCGAGTCTTTGTTGAACAAAGACATAAAAAAATACCGTAGGATTACCACTGGCTTCGGTTCTGTTATACCCTTGAGTAACTTGGTTTTACGGTCTCTTGAACACTTCCTAGAGTGGTAACACAATATAGCTATTTCTCAACTCACAGATCTAATTCACAAACTAACAACACATTACGAGCTAAGAAGTGGTGAACAGCATGAATAGCATTCGAAAAACATATATTCACCACACCGAGGCCGATGTTTCAAGATGAACTTACACTTTGAACAACGATGATGAAGTGGTTGGAAGGTGGTAGATTTAAAATCTTAAGAATAACCGTCAGCCTACTCCTGAAAATTCAATATAAGATAGACCACTAGAAAATGGCACTTCAGGTCCCTAATTATGGAATAAATTTAAGAAATGCTAATGGTCGACTGTACAACCAAATTAGTAAAGAATCTAACTAAAAAGATATTAGAAAAGATTAATTAGTTAGTATATTTGTAATGTAAAACATACTCTTCACGAGCCTTCTCTAAATCAACTGGTTCTGTCAAGCTATCTACATGTCGTCGCTTCAAATCAGATTCAAAATTCAACTCATTTTCAGCTCGCCTTTTTAGTAGTGGATCAGCATGAGGACGAGCAATCTAAAAGTAGGCACATAAAACATGTTTATTGAAATAATAATAATACTCAAGAATAGAATGTCACACTATCAAAAACGTTATAATTTCACTAAAATTCATTAACAACACTCCAAACTCCAACCACATAAACGATTCAATAATGGCAAACAATCACCGTTAATTAAATATTTTCAGTGTGTCTGAAGTGCTAGGTAGTCTAAACACATCCTCTGATTGGAAGGAATCGCATGAAACAATATGAAATTGATTACTCTCTGGCGACTAATTAATGTGTCTAATGCAGTCCTACAAGTCGATTATAGCCCAAATATATCAGTGGTAACATCTCTGACGGCGGCATCGAGAGAATATCACAAAGCAGATCAGTCCCTTTGCTGACGAGTGCTAACAAGACTGAAACCTAGATGCATGGCTTCCTGCTGATTGCTTCCGACTAACTAACATGCATCAAAGTGAATCACGATGGTGAACCTACTAGCTTGGTGGTGCTACGCTTGTTCATTCACCGCTATAAATCGAAGGAAAACATCAAAGTGGGAACCAATTTACTTAAATAGAAGCCTACCTGCTAACAATAGTCAAGCAAGTCGACCCTGTATAATAACGGGGAATTACAAACGTCAAACAGCAACTGATACACATTGCACAAGAGGTGGTTCTCATGCTCCAATGGCCCAGTGAATAACGCTTTAGAGTTTGAAGTGATGGATAGTGGGTGCGAGTCCCAGTGGGAACAAAATCACTTACTGGGGTGCAGGTACCTCCAGCTGACGAGTCCCAAATAGGACGTCAGCTGGACTATCCATCATTACTACAACTAAAACAGGTAATATCGAGGCATCCGCATAGGAGCCCATATGCCAATAGAGACCGATCAATTCGGTCCAATCAACGACGGTATAATACAAGCAATTATACCAAAACCATACGTGTCACACAAGAGGTGGCTATCATAGCTCCGTGGTGTAGTGCATCACGCTCTGGAGTTTGAAGTGATCACTCTCGAGTCCAAATCCCGGTAGGAACAACGTCACTCAGTGGGAGGCAGGTACATCCAGCTGACGAGTCCCAAATAGGACAAAATGTGCATCCTGGGTTCCACTACTAGCCACTATCCATCATTACTAAAAGTAATTTGTGTATGCGATTGTACAACTTGAGAGTGAGTTAGGGAAAAGAATAACCCCTCCAACCTAATAACTTAGTAGCGTCTTAGCTTTCGATAAATCTTTATTAATTAGTAATCGACAATCATAGTGACATTTAGAGAGTAATTTCCAACTTTAAGAGACAAGGAATTCAGTTAAGATACATAGTTGTGAGAAACTTTGGTCAAGGGGTGGAAGTAGTTTAAGAGTACTGAAAGAATGATACCCACTAAAACACCGATAGTCCATGGTAACACTGACATGAGACATGGAAATTTATGTTAGATGTTATTAGTTAAACGGTAAATGAGTCAGGAAGTCTTTTTTTACTGGTCCACTTTGACATTTACTTACAGCTGAGTAGCTACCCAACTCTGATTGTGCAGTCAACAGGGTTTCCATTGAAAAACATTCAGCGAAGATTACAGTGTGTGATTTCTGATACAAAAGTGTCATGAACTAGTGAGACATACTACCATATTTCTTCACTGATATTTATGAGGTACGATCAACAGCATACTTACTCGCAACCTTCACTACGATATGGTGTGCAAAATAAAGGAATTGGATTTTTAAAGACTATGGAAGCGCATCCCGATCAACAACTTTGATGTTTGCATCAATCAACCAATCTCATTCTGCAGGATCAGGATCATGACAGTAAGGTTCAACTCAAAACGAAGGAAAGTCACAATCATACAATGCCAAGACTGAGCAACTACAAATAATCCACATCAAGAGAAGAAGGAGAAATTCTACAGACAACTGCAAGCAACACTGGACAAGACCTCAGACAACAATGGCGACATCAAAATTCTAATGGGTGGGGTGACATGAATGTCAGCCAAATTGGGAGTGGACAACAAACAACGAGAACCAATCGTGGGTCGAGAAGCACTCGGTGAAGTGATGAACGAGAATGCAGAACTGTTTGCAGACTTCTGCACATTCAACGATTTGGTGATTGCAGGCAGTGTGTACAAACACAAGGATATTCACAAGGCAGCAACATAGATTTCACCAGACAACAGACACACTAAAAATCAGATCGACTTCATCTCAATCTCAACAAAGTGGAGATGCAGTCCACTCGACACAAGATCACATCAAGAAGGGGAGCAAATGTAGAGTCACACCACTCACTGTCCAGTGCAACCAACCTATCTTCATAATCAAGTTGAAAGCCTTCACAGAAGTTGGTGATAGACCACAGTCCAAGTCCAACACACAGAACAGAAACTGAGGGTCAAAATTACAAAGGACATCTTCACGTCAACCAGTCAGTCATCAGGACAAAATGGGAGATATTGAACAACATCCATGAAGAAACCTCGGTGGAAGAACATTAGAACTCTTTGGAAGAAAAGTAGAAAGAAACCTTCATAACTATACTAGGAAGGAAGAAGAAAGAAGACAAGACAAGACAAGGAATGGATCTCGACGGACACATGGAAGATGATACAGCATTGAGAGGAAGATGGTGAGATAGAAGATAAACCACCGCCAGGATGAACAACGAAAACAGGAACTGAACACAACCTATAAAACACTACACTGGACAAAGAAGTGAAGAAGAGTGCGCAGAAAGACAAAACACACTTCTACAACACACTTGCAAGTGAAGTAGAACAGGCTGCAGGTAGGAGAGACAGACACCTGACAACACTATATAAAATAACCAAAATACCATCTGGGAAGAAATCAACACAAATGAAATCAATGAAAGATAGTGAAGGAAACCTAGTTAGCAAAGGGGAGAAACAAAGGAAACAATGGGCTGACCACTTCAAAAAACTCTTCAATCGACCACCACCACTACCTGCAACTCATCCAGAAATTCCATCAACAGTCCAGCCACAGAATTACCAGTGAGTAGGAGCAGAGTCCTGAACACCATGAAACTGCTGAAATCCAGGAAAGCAGCAGGACCAGATGGAACTCCACAAGAACCACTGAAAACAGACGCATAGACAACAGCACACATGCTCACACCACTACTGCAGAAGGTTTGCAAGGAAGGAAAGGTACCTGCCCATTGATTAAAAGAAGGGCTACCTTGTCAAACTCCTACAGGAGAGATACCTAAGTCTTTGCAAGAACAGGAACTCGTGCGGAATCATGCTCTACCCCTGTCCACCCAAACCAAGCAAAATATTAAGCCACATCATCTTGGAGATACTAAAAGATGCTCTGGATTCAAAATTACGACCGGAGCAGGCTGGCTGGATTCAGGAAGTACAAATCATGAGCGGATCAAATTGCAACTCTCCACTACGCATCATCATAGAAGAAAGCGTATAATGGTGGTCAACTCTTTACCTCAACTTGATCCACTTTGAAAAGGCATACGACAGCATTAACCGAGAAGTAATTTGGCAGGCAGCTGCTTCAACACTACGGTTTTAGTGACACAAACCTTCATCAACCTCACTCAACAGCTATATGAAGACGCCACATGCCAACTGATCCACAATGGAAAGCTCAGTGATGCCTTTGAAGTGAAGACAGGAAGGAGTAAGACAAGGTTGCCATCTACTATCACCCATGATCTTCCTCATTGTGGTCGACTGGATCATGCAGTAAACCATGAGGAGCGACAAGATGGACATACACTGGAAGGACCGATGGAAAGACCCCAGAAGAGGATTTGGATTTCACCCACGATGATGATTTATGTCTAATGTCTTGTCTCACACACTCGAAGATCTATAGGCTAAAACTAACAAGTTGAGTGAAGAGGCAAAGAAGAACGACGGGACTTCAAGTGAATGTAGAGAAGACGGAGGTGGCGAAGATACCCAACCAACAACAGCATCAACAAAAAGCACCAATCATCATCAATGGGAGAAGTCCAAAGGAAGTAGTCTCTTTCGCCTACCCACCTACCTAGGCAGCATTGTTTCAACTACAGGTGGCACAGATGAGGACGTCAAAGCTACGATGGGAAAGACAATAAGGTAGGCCTTCATTAACTTGAAACCAGTGTGGAGATCTACTGCACTTAGCATAAAGTATGAACAAGGTGTGGATTTTCAGCGCCAATGTCAGTCAAGTCAGTGCTGCTATATGGTTCAAAAACTTGACGCGTCACGAAAAGCATTTCCAACAAACTACAGACATTCGTCAACAGTTGCCATCTATGCTTGACACCGAAGATTAGATTTCCAGAAAGAATAAGCAACAAGGAACTCTAGCTGGCAACAAACCAACCATGAACCTATCACCCAACAAATATGCAGAAGAAAATGGAGATGGATTGGATTGGACATACACCGAGATCATTCCGGAACATCACGCACCAGGTCCTTGAGTAAGATCCAAAGTGGAAACGACGAGTTGAGCGTCCGAGGGTGACATGGAGGAAATCGTTTGAGGAAGAAATGAAAGCTTGTGGGCAGTCGTGGAGCCAGGTTCAAAAGACTGCAGATAACAGAGTGAAATGGAGACGTGCTACTGAAGCCGTATGTTCCAATAGGAGCCCAAGGGAAAAATGATAATAATAATAATAATAATAATAATAATAATAATAATAATAATAATATACTCAGACAATCTTCTCTTCAAATTGTTTTAAATTACTTGGTTACCACTACTACTTCCTTGTGTTTATTTATATTGCTGTATTGCTTTTTTTTAAAGTTTTGTCATTTAAGCTGAAGCGGATTTGGGAATACACAATGAATAATTGCTTCTTTATAAGTATGCTAGTTGTTCAAAAAGGTCTTGTTATTGCCTCAGAATAGGAGAAGATCTGAATTAGGCCATAAAATTCAAAACAAAGGCTTCGGAAAGGGCAACCTTAGGTTCTATCTGGAGGTTTGTGGAGATTTATTAGTTTATTTTAGGTTGGAATTCATCATGAACTGACATCAGTTGGAGGAACATTAGAAACCTAGGAGCACTGCACAGCTAGTTCGTCCTAGTATGGGACTCCTCAGCAGTGTGCACCTAGTACCTTCAGCTTTGGTAGCCAGTACGTTACCATAGAGCCACTGGGTCGGAATCCAATGGTCCATATTTCCTACCTCTGTCAGATAGAATTATTCTAGCGTTCACTGGTGACTAGCTTCGACGGGTTATTCCTGAAGTTCCAGTGAAAAGTCGTGATTAGTGGAGTCAACCAAGTCGAACATGAGGACTGTTACTCAACGACGATATTGGATTTAGGTCGCGATACACTGTGAACTGACAGAAGTAGGAAGTATGGACCATTGGATTCCGACGCAGTGGCTGGCTCAGTGGTAACGTGATGGCCACGGGGGACCTGGAGGTCCTGGGTTCGAGATCCCTGGGGGTGCTGGGTCATGAGTGCGCACTGCTGAGGAGTCCCATGTTAGTGGGATGAAGCAGCTGTTCAAAGCGCCCAGGTTTTCAATGTTCCTGCAACTCATATCAGTCCATGGTGAATTCCAAATTAAAACTTTAGGTTCTATCAACTGACCTCTCAAACCTGATGAGGCAGTGTGTGGTAGTGATGAATGTACGCATCTACGCATCACTGAATGAAATCATGACCACAGTGAAACTGAGATCTGACTAACAATTAGATCTCACATCCCGGTTGGTAGAGTATTGGGACAGTAACAGTAAGTAAAAGAAATAAAAGTAGAACAACTTCCCAAATCACCTTAAAGCAATTACATAACCGAAATATTATGCAACCCATAAACACAGTAAAAGTCTCTGTACTGCTGTATTAGTAACGTATAATGCCTGAGAGTTCACAATACTACTCAACTATTCAGGTTGAAGTAAGTGAAGGTGCATTTAAAACGTTACACAATAATCGGTAAGTGGAAATTCGAAACAATGAATCATATCTGCTGGCAGTAGCGAAATTTTTGAAGTTTTACACTGGTTAGATATTCAAATGACTAGCCAAGTTCTACATGAATCACTCAAATAAACCTCTTACAACAATGAATCATACATCCAATAACTATTTTACTTAAACTTTTATGAGAACACATGAAGCAAAGAATTTTCATCAAATTTGTCAACCGTATACTTCTTTCAAATCATGGATAAGTTAATTAAATCCATGAAGATTAGCAACAAATGATCTTCTAAAACAGGTATGAAAGAAAATTTGAACAAACTTGACTACTCCATATTTGAAACTTAACAAGTACATTAGTTGTCATCCGGTCATCAGTTCGTGTACATTAAATACCCCTACAGGGAGTTGACTGTGAAATTGATAGATCAGTGGTAAAATCTAACTTTATCACTAAACGAAATATACTAGAATATCTTGGGTGACGTGAGTTTCCTCATAATTATAGATACACCTTACTGATAAGTTTTAATAAACATGAAACACGTCCAACGCTTTCTGCTAATTAATCTCTAGCATCCAACAATGAAATATACCGTAACTGGAACTAATCGTAAATGTTATAAAGAATTAGCTAACCTTAACAATCAACTTTGATCCTTTCCAATTGTAGCCATCCAAAACTGAGATAGCAGAGTCACGATCAGCTGCTGATCTAAAGATTAGTTTAGCAAAATATTCCATAGAACTTACTCGAATGAAAGAAATGCCAGACTTCCTCTGATTAATTTCAGCTTTCGAAAATTGACATTTAAAGACTGTAACAGCTTCTTCATTTGCTATAATGAAATCGATAATGAATTATAAACGTTATTGAAGTCAAATGTAGCGAAGAGACTACGAATTAAATACATCATTTGTATAACATTAGATCCCAATAACTGTGAGTACACAATACCTGTCTGAGCACTATCATCATCATCCATCAACATAGGACCATCTATTACTGCCTAATGGTCCGAGTTCACATACCTCATCAAGTAAAAAGGCAATCAAGTGGAAGATGAAGAAGGAAAGAAAACTCAGTCAAAAAATATAAAGTATGAAAAGAGAGAAAGGAATAATGAGAAAATAGTGACATTCGGTATAGCCTCGTCAAGATAAGGATAATGTGTGTGTGTATATATACATCTGCGCCACACACACATAGGTTCTCAACCATGCCATCACCTAGAGTCAGGCTCCAACCAATGGCTCCTTTTGTCCCGTCGATCCCAACCACCCAGTCTGCATCGCCCCACATACCTCAAACCAACAGTCAAACACTTCATACATTGATCCCATGTTTTAGTCTGTCGTCCCACCGCCGGAGCTTTTTTCCAGCCTGAATCTACTTCAGCCAACATTTTGTGACGAGGCAATCGGCGACTAGGCATACGTGACACATATCGGAGCCAACCATCTCGGTCGATGAAGGCTCACAACCGTGTCAACTGATTTGAGCACTATACCAGATAAGTACTCAGTCAGTGAAGTTGTACAATGATGAATAGATGATGTTGTAGACAGGTAGCAATCTTTTACTATACTTATATTTAAAAATATACAAGAGAATCACATCTGAATTGGTCACCTGAAAAAACGCTTGCTAAAATAAAATTTCATCTGTACACAATGAATTCAAGGCCTCAAAATAACTCCAAGTATTTCAAAACATCGGTAGTCCAGGACTGAATATATAACTACAGAGGGCTAGGAAATTATACGAGCTGTACTGCAATCAGAGCCGTATCGCAAAACAGTATTCGAGTAGGAACTGCTATCACCCAACGACATATCACGACACAATACAACTATGATGATACATGGAGTATGACTGTAAAGTTCATTTCAACTAACTACAACTGAAATAATCAATAAGACTTCTTGACCTTATGAAAATCCCCCCTTGAAGCTTAAAAAAAGAAAACTAGTTGGTTGTTTTAATTGTTGCTACGGTGGTTTTTGATTCATCCACCTAAATTTCAAACAGATTGATCAAAACAATCGGTAATTGTATGAAGTGATCAAATTTATCCAAATGAATACAACTACATCGCAGTTAGACAAAAGAATAATGAAAAGTGATGGTGTAATTGCCAAAACTCAAACCTTAGTGAACGAACAGGAAGGTCAGCTTATGTTCAGATACAAATAAATGATATTTGTCAGACGTACGATGGTGTGTATATTCAGAAAGGACATTAGAATCCAAACGTTTAAAATTAATAAAGCAATTGTTGATAACTAAAAATTCAACTAACTCGTGGACTCCCTTGGGCACAGATGAAAAGGTGCCTGTCTATTTTCTCCGTTTCGGGATCGTAACTACACTCTCAATCACAGCCAACTATGAAGGAATAGTGTGAATATCTGAAATAGATCGTAGTTAAATGCTAAACTTAATGGACGCCACATACTGGTAAACTTACTCATCAAATATTATTTCAAGTACTTATTGAGCATTACTTATTCTAATAAGTGACAACCCAACTGACTGTCATCACTTTCTCCGTAGTTCAAGTTAATCATATAACTAACAAACAGATTATGTATAGTAATGATGGGTGGTGGCTAGCAATAACACTAATAACAAACAGATTGTTATCGAAATTTCATTACAATCCTACAATTAAAACAAAACAACTCAGTGATTACAAATTGAAAAGACGGGTATAACCACTAAGTAGTTCTTACAGCGAAACCTGCATGACGAAGAATATTCTTCACTTGTATCTTGAACGCCTCTGAAGTGAAAGCATCTCGTTTGAGATAACCGAATGGACAATTCGGATTGGAACAAGCACGCATACCATTGTTATCATTCTCTTCACCACCATTGTCATTGAGTGGATTTGTTTTCGAGTTGTTTAAGCAATCGCATGTAGTCGTAGATTCATCTGCCGACGGAAGTATATCAATATCAGTCTTGTCTTCCATCACAACCTGAATGCCTAAAATATGAGAATAAAAAATGACATAAATCAACATTCAGTAAGTCGAATATCCTAAATCCAAACCCCTCACAGTTTGTCATGCATCTATTCAATTTAATTATGACTTTATAGTGTTAGTGCTGATGAAGTCACCAGGATCGATGATGAAGCATTTGCGCTTACGTCTAACGATTATCACATACAGCAAACAGTGTTAGAAAGTACTTATAGATGAATAACCATGAAACTTCACGCTATTACATATTAAAATGTTTCCAAATGGTGAAAAACAACACACACCCTTCTTAGAGGAAATCCAAACACTGCTGCTATATTACAACAGTGTTTCACACAACTGAAATAATTATAACTGGTGTCCAGTATGCTTGAATGAGATGAGATGACGTGGAGAGTTCTCTAAAGATAACAAATAACGTTGTTTTCATGCCTAGTGAGGACACAATTCTGATCTATAAATATTATGAAAACGCAAGTTGTGACTTCAGTTCGCTGTTTCGGAAATTGAACCATAGAGTCAAAGCCTCTGAAAGTGATTGTCTTTAAAAAAAACATTTACCTCGATCTGAGTACCAGGACAATGAAATGAAGATTAACAAACAAAAGTGTAGCACATTCTTGCACAACGTAGATGTGTATATTTTTTCAATAAATGATGGCCTCCTTCGAATGGCTGCTCCAGATATCCATAGAAATTCACACAAGATATAAAGAAAAAAATCAACCTCCAAACAAAAACAGATAATCAATATGTTCATTACTTATGCCACACTGGAAAGAAGGACTAATCTGGCTTAGCAAAGGTATTAAAATGGACTACACATACAATCATCCTAGATATCTGTTTGTCAGCGATGGGCACTACTTACATTTCTTAATATATGCTCAAAACACAAAACCAGTAAAACGAAAATACAATTTACTAAGGTCAACAGGTGAAAAGACAGACATATATGGCTTACAGGTCGGCTGAAAAGCAAAAGGATAAGGTATGAGAGTAATCTGTTTATTTGGATAATACAAGAGATGTAGTTACGAAGTTAGGAATTGACGCTGTATCTCCCCGAGAAGAACAGAAGCAGCTGACAAAACATTCAAGCTATTTGTTCCATTTGCTGATGGGATGACAACACGAGAACCTCCAGTAAGATGTACTAAATGATACGCTTCAGGGGAAATACCATGAGCCTCAGAACCCAGAATTACTGCAACACAACACTCATGTCTATCAACATTATAGTTAGGAGGGATATAGTCTATTGCAAAATGAGGGACAGTTCGTACAGGCAAACGATATGCAGTATTTGTTGACTCAGGAGTCAGAAAATCTACAGCTTCACATTCGACGGATGTTTCAAATTCCTGTACATCAGATGGCTCAGAGTCCTGTAACCATAAAACATAATAATAGTAATATGCAAGTTAGGTTTAATAAATTTTTGTTTATAAGAAAAGTGCCCAGGTGAAATAACGAATCACAACTACTCGGATTTAGTCCCCTTGATCGTTGCTGAAATATCAAACATCACGAAATAAAAAAGGAGTGATTATCTTTCAATTCTAGCTATCTTCCCTTAAGACCCAGATCAGTCTGTCAAACCAAGGGAATATAAATCACCAAAATCAATAGACTATAAAATAATGATATTCTATATTTTGAGTGTTAAACTGTAGAGCATAAACTTGTTGATCTAGCCGACAATACACAAATAGACGGGCAGAAGCAATATAGAACTTCGCATACAGGTGCATCGGTTCAAGTTGCCACACTTAACAGTAGTATACAAAGAAAAGGTGGATACAATAAGTATGATATCAAACTAGAGGAGAAAGAATAAACAATTTGAAGATAACAGTTAGTGCATATATTCAAGCTTTAGAAGAAGTCAGCAAGTGAATACATCTGCGCCCGTGTGACCGCTTTTTAGGCATGCCACTAAGAGTTTCCAATCATTGATTCCTATTGTCTCGGAGACCCCAGCCAGGTAGTTTACACCCCCCCCCTGCATGGCTTAGATTAATAATCACGGACTTCGTCAACTGGTGTCACGTCTTGATTTGGCTACTCTGAACCCTCTTCTAACCTAATCCAGCTTCCCTAGCATGACACGTTGAAGTAGGTGGTGACTCAGCATGCGCAACATATGTCCAGGCTACCTTAGTCGATGAAGGTCTACAACCTCATCAATACTATATGATACGCAGTTAAGTAATGATAAAATTTGGCCCACTGCTGTATTGCATTGAACTGATCGAACTAAACAGTCTCACTAACTGGTTAGTCGACGCAATCCAAATGGCTAGCACGAACTCTTGAATAAACATATTTCTAGCTTAATGTACAACTTTGTATTCTCTTTGAATCTCGTAATCCTGGGTTTCGACCAAATACTGTACAAGTAGGACAAATTAATGACTTTTATCTGTGGACCATAACAACACATTATTCAACCTCTAAAACCCGGAAAAAACTGGTGATAAATCAAAAGTATCACAAGTAAACATATTTGATGAAGTGTGTTCAGATTAGTCCACCTTTAAGGTGAACAGATCACAAACACTCTCCTTAAAAACGTTTTCCAATTACTAAATAAAGCACCATATTTATCAATAGTAGTTGAGCGAATTCTGAAATCAAAACTCACATCCGTGTAATGGACAATAAACAACACCTACTGCGTAAGGGCTAATGGAACTACTACACCGCTGCCCAAACCTCCGTGGGTGGAATGTGTTCGAACACGTAACCCGCTGGTTGAAAGTCTGCCGCCTAAACCAATGAGCCATAAATTCAGCAAACTTAAGTCTAGAAAAGTTATCAGAAGATCTAAAGATAGAGGTTTGTTGAGTCAGATGATGACTGTTACCCATAAAACACAATCCAGACTAGACTTACCGGAGGGTAACGGCCTTATTAATTTGAGGTAGGAGTGAAGTCTTTTATGTTTTCATTATCATGGAGGCCTTTGCTGTATCCGTATTAGCTTCACGCAATTACGTGACTACTCCCACTAATATAGAAAAAAGAGTGGTTTATACATTCTCCTGTCTAACTTTTCAATAATGAAATCTAGGAGCTTTGTTTGACTGATGAAATACTACTATGAAGGATTTCAATGAGTCTAACTAGTACCCTTATGAAATACAATCCACTACGAAAACTGTATCCAATCTCATGTCAATCACAAATAACAGTAAACACCTGTATTACATTGCGTTTAAATAATGCAGCAATGTATCTAATATTGCTGAACTTCAGTGTTCTTTTTATGATATGTTACGAACAAAAGAAATGATACTTATTCAATATCTATCATGATGCAAAAGGTGTACCTCGAATAAAACCCTGAAACAGGTCTTAGTAATATGGTGCTTTTTGAGAAGACGTATGACGATTTCTCTAGTGTACCGGCAATCGAAAAACCGAATTGAAGTAACTTATACGCAAAACTGATATAAGAACTGATGCATTAGAAAAAATATATAACTCACTACTGAGTCAGCTTTCCAAGCTGATTTAATTAGTCTGTCAGTTATAAGTGGGTCAGGATCAGATGCAAAGACTGTAACAGGAGGAAATGAATCATCACGTATTCCACAATAACGACTGATATCAGCCCAACTTAATCCCTGATGAACAGGTATACGGAAATGAGCGGACATTCCTGCTCGAATCACTTTGTCGTTCCATATATTGACACTTCCTATATAAAACCAACCAATAACAAACTTGCATTTATACACTGACTTGAGGCATCGAACGAAACTCTCCATGAAAAAATTCTTTCATCTGTAAGACTGTACTTCACGAATTTTATTCATTATTTACTTCAACAAAAGTCAAAGAAACCAAAAACAAAGACAGAAAGGTACTTCAGGTACTCGAAATACCACAATTTAACTTAATTTCCCAGGTCGTCCTTCAATCCCGATATCAAAGATTATGAAGTACACCCTATTTTAGAGCTTTTCAACGTATTGTGACGAAGCAAGCTAGTCAACTTTCCAACACCTCTTCGTCTGAACTCATTTACATAGTAAAAGGGTAATCTTTAAAATCAGTTACAATGAAGGGAAATGAAAGTGAAAACTCAATTCACTTAAACACATAATAACTATGCCTGAAAGTGCAAAATATGGATCAAATACGCTCCTAGGTGAATATGAGAATGGTTAAGTAATACATCTAATTTCGTCACTTCTGTTTTGCGGTTGGCTATTTAACCGTTTTTATCTTCTGTTCTCCACTCTAGGTATGTTAACGTTGCTGAATAGTGTCGCCATCAACCTTTTTTTTTATCTACGCTTGATTTCCCATTCTCATGTGAAGTGTAGTTAACTAAAATATGTATATAATTGTACCATGATAAGAAAAAAAATTGTTACTGATTCCAGATAGATTTCACGAAGTTCTAGAGAAGTGACCAGTGGAATATATATGTGAGAAGTGAGAATGAAGGCTCATTAACAGATAGTATGTGATATTCACACTACATCACTAACTGATAAAGTTACGAATCGTGGACGAAAAAGATTCAGCTGAGTGACAGAAGTTCAATGTGTTTACCGTTGAGTTCCAGAGTGAAATGAAGCATTTTCACACTGCATTTTGATATTTAACAGTTTTATGGGTGATATCAGTTCGCAATGATAATCGATTTCATAGTCGATCGACTTCCGAAAAGTAACCTATTTATATGAGTATTGTTTTTTTTTTACTTGTTAAAAGTTGATGAACAAAGGTGTCAACTAACCGTCTCATGATACCATGTCGAATGAGAAAGTGGAAAACAACACCTATTGTTTTTTTTCAAATGGAAACTATGAGGAAGGTTTATTACGCAAGACATCCATTAACCATTCGTACTGGATAAGAAGAGAAAACAAAGAGTATGTGGGGGAAATCCCTTAAAATTAGACGGAGAGTGTATTCTACAACCTTTCGGCTTTGATATGCAGCTTTGAAAAACTAGAGATACACAGGGCTCGACCTTTTTAGATGTATATAACCTACCTTTCGTTACCAAAACAGAATTCAGACCGAAACTTGCTGCAGATCGTATCAAACTACCCATATTCCCAGGATCGCTAATACGATCAAGTATAAGAGTAACAGGCAAATGATACTTTGCTTCTTTTGAATGGAAAACATCTTCTTGAGGTAGTTCGAAGACAGCTGAAAATCGAAAAATGCAAACAATTAGTATTATAATAAGTTTAGGTTTATAACTAGTCAGTCATGCTACGGACTTAGTCATTTCTCTCACATGAATGGAAACAGACCTTATAAACAAGTTTCATTTAAAAGCGCTATAGATTAGATAGACAACTTACTATACTTTCACCAGAATAAATACATCACTTCAATCAAACTTAGCTTAAGCGTACTCTTGAACAACATAAGTAGTAAAATGTATTTTTTGCTTATACGACAGTTTTACTGGCGAGATTAAAGTTCAGCAAACACCAAAGTCAGTAGGCTGGTTTGAAGTCCGACTTATTAGTGGTGTACTTGAATGAATTCACATTATACAAAACTGTTCAAACTGTCTGAACTAACCAGTTGACTTTTATGAATCAGTACAACGTATAACGGATGAATAGTTAGCAAATTATTTACAAACGAGGGTTACACTGATACTTGGACTGCAATATGGGTGGCTTCCAACTACTCATGTTATGAAGTAGTACTTTACCTAGTCACGAGAGTTGGGTTAGAGAACATAATTTCTCTCCATGAATGAGTGGTTGGTAGACTTCTTAGCTGTAAGAAGGATTAACGAAAACTCTGAAGTTTCTAATTAATTTAAAGAGTGATCATTTATTTCCCTATTCATAACTTTTTAACCGTTATAAACAATTTTGTAGTGATACGTTTGAATTTAAGGATTCCATGAATACCTTCAACATGTTTGAACCGTTTTCTCTATACGTAAGACTTTTACAAATATCTAACTCATAGAAAAATACGTTTGAGCAGTATAGGTGTTGGTTCATTTATCTTTTTAGATTTTTTACTATGAGATCAAATCACATTAAATCAACAACTAAGCAGTATACACTGATAGTCGTTTTTTTAGAGAAACGGTGTTATTTGTTGTACGACAGACGCAAGTTAGGTGATAGTAGGTGGGACCAATTCCAGTGAGAATACTCGTCTCCATGCAAACAAAAACTGATATTTTCAAAAATATTCAGTGCCTTATGCATATGAAGGTAGTACTGATCAAATCTCATGTATATACTGAATATGATTATTGCTACGATAGAGTGAAGCATTAAAAGATAACTGAGCATTAAATAAAGTTATTACTTGATGTATGTTACCTGCCTACTTTTTTTTCTAATTCATATAAGTTTTTGATAACTGTCAAACTTCAACCCAATAGCTTTTAGTATCACGTTTGGAATTGTCTGTTTTACTTGCCTCATAATAAAATCTCAACTGAGACGCCTGAAAATACACGAAAGATATAAAGATATCCTTGATGATTTAATGACTACTTGAATTTTGTTCACACTGTCCGTCAAAAGACTAAGTTATGCATTGTTTTGACGTGCTTATAGTCTGAACACAAGCAAACTATGATAGGGAACACTACATGCGCATAAGTTCTAAGTCTTATATATTCATCACATGATCACTGCGTCAAAATTTTACCTAAATAAATATCTATATGGAATCAATGTGCACATGAGCACAGTGGACAAAAGCGACTCTGAGCATATACGGTGTGGTTTTTACACTATTACAGTTGATGCCCATAATTTAATCGCTCCATTCAGCAATACTGATAACTGAGACAAATCCTTAACACATTATCCGGTCACAAGCACATAAATCCCATTTCTTGAAGATGAGGTATTGGCATCCACAATAAAAGTTGCGTCTACAACTTCAGATTTTTATCAGTTTACACTTCATAAATAAATAAAATCCAGAATAGCTGAGGTCCTAATTCCAAAATAAAACGTAAAAATAATTATGAAAACCACCACCGAACATACCTATTACTCCGGGAGGAGATTTAAGCGATGAAAGTTGGCTCATAACACGACGGTTGACGTAGTATATATTTAACACGTTGCGTAGGTTACCAATTTGTTCAAGTTCCCCTCGCGAAGAAAAAAACAAAGATTTCGCCTTCCCTTCTGTACTCAGTGCGTCGCATATTAATTTGCTTCCTTCAAGAATAACAGCTGGATATTTGCTAAATTCATGTTCATCGGGATAGAGATGTGATAACTTTGAACGCATGAGTAATGTCTCTCTGTAGAAATGTGTAAAATCAAACCACTTACTTGATTATAGGATCATTTTCATCTAGCTCAGGATAACGATTTTTGGTTTCACTGCTAATCACATTTTTCTCATTAACTCTGGGTGGTCTAACATTTCGCTCCACAGTTTTCTTATGAATCTTTGGTACGACTATTTCGTCTCCATAGAACACACTACTGGTCAAACAGCGGATGTACGATACATTTGTGCGTGAAAATAAACTGTAAATGCTTTTCATTGAGATTCACTAAGACTTTTCACTTGAGATAACGAGAGGCAGTCATTGTTTTGCAGACATTAGGCAGGTGATAATGAAGTTTAATATGAAAGTGGCTATAGTTGTATATGGAATAGAAGAAAAAGGCTACTTAATTCCGAAATATCAACATTTAAGAGTAATTCAATATCAAAATAACTAAAAATTGGAACGCCCCAAATTTTCTTTTTAAATTCAGAATAACTCTCATGTTAAAAAAAAGTAAAAGGTAGAGTACTCGATGCAAATTTTTAGTAACTGACAAAGTAAACATACACAGTAGTGACCTTTTGATGATCATCAGAACATAGCTCAAAAATATGTGGATCCTTTGACCTCAATTATTCAAGTATTTCATTTCATCAAACACAGGTTAGACCCACAGATATTTAATATGCCGTGGTGTTTCGTAAACATTAAAAGGGTTACGAGAACTGCAACTTTCATGACCATTCTACGGCTCTACCAAGAAGACTAAGCGGAATACTCAAAACCAGACCCCAAATAAAAAATCTGCTTTGTTTTGGATGCCGAGTTTTTATAAAAACCATCACCCAGTGAGTGTGCTACAAAAAAGGTAAATGACGAGCAGCCAATGTGGTCTCATTCAAAATAATGTGGTACTTATTTCTTCATAGTAACATCATGTACTGGTAGACAAGACACAAATTACAACCACTTACTATGCACCAGAAACCCATGAAATATATCAACGTACGAACCACCTAAATAAATATGGACCATAACGAAATAGTCAGATATACAATGTCAACGTAGAAAATCATACACAAGTGCATCGGCTCAAGTTGCCTAACTTTACGGTAGTATACGTAGAGCAATATCAAAGTAGGCAAAACTGTGCAAAGGAATAAACAGTTTGAAGACAAAGGTCAGAGCAGATATCCAAGCTTTAGAAGACGACAGAGTGAATACGTCTGCGCCATGTCACCGAGTGCCCAATCACTCATTCCTATAACCTCTTGGACCCCAGTCAGGTGGTCTTCATCTCCCAATGCGGCTCAGACCAACAGCCAGGGACTTCATGGGCTGCTTCCGCATTTTAATCTGGCCACCCTGAACCCTTATCAAATTGCGTTCAACTCCCCCAGCATGATAAGTCGAGGTAGGCGGTGGCTCAGCATGCGCAGCACATGTCCAAGCCATCACAGTTAACTAAGGTTCACAACCTCGTCAATCGAATTGCCTGTCTTGCATGGTAACCTTACTCCGACCTCGACACTGCTCATAAGGTGATTCTACCAAGCGCAAGCTATGCTATAATCGAAACCCTCTAACCGCTACATTTCTTCTACTTTCAACGGCTTTCACAGCCGTATAACAGGAGGGAGCGGAACGCAGTGGAGCATACCCGTTCTTTGATTGAGAGTCGGATATCTCGCTAATTGGTGACACAGATGAGGTAATTTGGCAAATCCCAAACGGGCCTTCTATATCCGAACTGAGAGTTCGTCGGCTACCAGCCGGTTCGGACTGATGCAACTCCCTAAGTGAGTGGAGTGGTAGACACGTTCCACCGCTTTACTCCCTATTATTAGACTGAGTGTGGTTGCAGTGGACGAGTCCCGGAGCATCGTCTTACATAACACAGGGGCGAGATGAATGCCAAACATACTCGGATTTCCGCTCAACGCATTCAGAAGACCCTGTGCCTGGTCAGAGTCTTCACTCTGAAGGTAGATATGTCGTCTGCATATTCCAGGGCAACCAGATGACTCCCAATGAGTAGATTAACCAGTGTGAAGTTATAGGTACCAAAGGTTACGTCCATTAGTATCTATGACGAAGTTTAATAAAAACTGTATAAGATAGAACTTATCAAATGACGAAGAAAGTGGTCATAGTGGCAGCGTGGGACTAAAAAAATAATGGGCATACAAATTGGAAAACAAAGATAACCTGATATTTTGTTGCGAAAGGGAACAACAAAGTTTTGATTACTCCTCTGTAACTGTGAACAATAAATTATGCTTCAAACACTATCAAGTAAGTGACACCACATCACTATGTGCTACGTCGATTGCAATCTAATATGGAATTACTTAAAGCATATGAACTATTCTACTAGGAAGATGCTGTAATTTCGGAACATTGACATGGCCCCATCAACAATGAAAGTTATTTTGAAACACTTTCTAAGTAATTTTAGAGCTAAATTTACTGACAATGGCAATGTGTTGCAGAAAAATTCGCTGCATAATCCAACGTGCATATGTAGCGCACAATGTGAAAGTTCCGCCTCAGAAGCTACCAAGTCTTCCGTCCTCAGCAATTAAGATAGTAAGCTAACTATCCCATGGTATTCTTTAAAGTAGATATATTTGCGAAGAAACATCTGCTCTATAAACCTATTATTCAAAGAAGCAGAAACCGGCTGTCACAGTAAATAGTTCTGGACAATGACTATATTGTAAGACGAAAATAAGTGAATACGACTATATTAATTAACAATGTAACATCACGAACAAGGTATTCAGCGAAGAGACTCTTTTCAACGAATTTATTTTCAAGCTGTACAATCGTATATATTTGATATTTGAAAAAATTATATCCCGTGGGGAAAACTAAACACTACATGGTGATAACAATAATAATAGAGCTGATGATGACGTAGGCATTTGTGATTAGAATAACAATGGAAGTGCGAACGATAATAGATAGATTATGTAACATATGGAATGGTACATAGAGAGTATATAACTCAGAAGGCGGTGAAAAAAGTTGTTGAAAATGGCAAATCAATTAAGTATTACGTGATGACATCAGACAAGTTGGACGAGATGAAGTCAATGTTTTCTAAAAGGATTGAGACAATTAAGTGAAATGACACCGGAAACTAATTAAAGTGAATGCGATTATAGTAACAATAATAGTGATAAAGGAAGGATGCAAAGGCTAAATTGACAAAGTGGGAGGGTGAGCTAATGGGGTGGGAGAATGTTATGGCCATGATAAAGACAGTGACTGCACTTACTTCTTTTGTATACACAGATCAGGTCTTAGTTCATGAATAGCTAAAGCCTCCGCTGTTTTAAGGAGTCGAAAACGAAGAGAACGTAAGAGGTTTGGGTGAATTTGATTAATAATTTCAGAGTCATTTGTTTTGTGCATTTTTTGTGTTGTTTGGATCTGCCAGTTCACCTACTCTTGTGCAGCAAGGTACGTCGGCCACAGCCAAAGAATGCTCTCTACACGTATACGAGAACTTGTTCCTGCTTGGTTTTATAAAGGTGAAAGAAGGTCTGTTAGAAGTTCGATTCTAGAACATTTGATAGACTTCCATCACACAACAAATCCAGACGGTGACTTTGAAATTATTTATCAAATTCACCCAAACCTCTTACGTTCTCTTCGTTTTCGACTCCTTAAAACAGCGGAGGCTTTAGCTATTCATGAACTAAGACCTGATCTGTGTATACAAAAGAAGTAAGTGCAGTCACTGTCTTTATCATGGCCATAACATTCTCCCACCCCATTAGCTCACCCTCCCACTTTGTCAATTTAGCCTTTGCATCCTTCCTTTATCACTATTATTGTTACTATAATCGCATTCACTTTAATTAGTTTCCGGTGTCATTTCACTTAATTGTCTCAATCCTTTTAGAAAACATTGACTTCATCTCGTCCAACTTGTCTGATGTCATCACGTAATACTTAATTGATTTGCCATTTTCAACAACTTTTTTCACCGCCTTCTGAGTTATATACTCTCTATGTACCATTCCATATGTTACATAATCTATCTATTATCGTTCGCACTTCCATTGTTATTCTAATCACAAATGCCTACGTCATCATCAGCTCTATTATTATTGTTATCACCATGTAGTGTTTAGTTTTCCCCACGGGATATAATTTTTTTCAAATATCAAATATATACGATTGTACAGCTTGAAAATAAATTCGTTGAAAAGAGTCTCTTCGCTGAATATCTTGTTTTTGATATATGCGAGTTTGACACACACGCGGACATGGGGCCTTAGTTTTGTGGGTTTTGAAATTATAACCTTAGCAGGAGACGAAAGAAAGCATATCAATCTCAAAGTCGCTACAGAGGGTAAATAACATCAGGTAGCCGTCACTTTCTATTTCACGAGAAGGCGGATGGATATTTGGTCAGTGAGAATGCTTGCCATGGAACTCACTACTCTAATAGAACACACAATAAGTTCTGTGTGAGGTTTACTGTCACCAGCACAAAATGATCCAATAGTTGCATTTTCTTTTTTGACGAATACTGCTACCTTGAGCTTGCATATCACAATGACCCATTGAACTATTCTGATGTAACGCTTGCTACCTTGATGTTCTACCGCACCAGAAATTTCCGTTTGATAGTGCTTAAGGAAAAAATACTTGTCATTGTGGTGTAAATCACTCCACTGCGACGGGGGACTGAGAGCGAAGTCATACTGCCGACCAAATCGGATGTTTCGCGTGGATGACCAGTACCGCCATGCCGATGATGCCTTCCATGCGAGATGTGGAGGTTATAAAAAATTTGCGTTGAAACAGCACACTCTTATCCGCTGCAGCATGCCGACACCTGCACTAGGACTTCGTAGCTGGATCCGGAAGCAAAGAACCAAAGGCTCAAACTTCCCAGAAGCTGTGTGGGATAGGACTGGAGTAGATGTCTCATGGGCTTCGCAGTCACACACTCACTCCTCTTCCTCGGGTACCTCAAGAAGAAGTAGCCGTCAATAGTATGTGTAGTCAGGTAGCATCAACCACCCGCACACTTCCAGGAGTACACAGGACACAGTAAAACGTAACCTGTCCTCCTTCACTTTCACTTACCGATACAATTACTAGGCCGCCTACGTCCTATCCAGCCTGTCATTCTGCGACCATCTTCAACTGTCGAAGCCATGAAAACCTCATTTCCAGTCTCTTAACACACGGCCATCGGTTCCGTGCTGGCCTTCAACGTCCAAACTGGACAACAAACACTACCAGCCAAAACTCCGGAACCTCGAGTCGTAAGTGCATGCTGTGTCTCTGAGACGCTTATACGAGACCTGGTGGCTATCTATCGTAGACTTGCTGGTGTAGGGCTGAGTTATAAGGCAGAGAAGTGCTTCTCTACTGGATACAAGTAAACAGCTGTCTGTGTGCTGCCCTAACGAATTCATCTGTGAAGACTAGGGGGGATCGTAGGACTAGGCAGTACTTATTTGTAATCTCTGCCTCCACACCCACCAAGTGTAATTCCGATGATGAAAAGGATGAGTTCTGTGAAAAGCTGTCAACTCTGCTACAGAAGACAAGGCGTTCAGGGGTAATTCTAGTGCCCAGCGAACTTGGTTATCATTCCTGTGTATAGTAAGCTTTGTATTCACTATTGACCGCCACTGACTGATGAGTAACCTTTAATGCACTTGTTGAATTTTACCCGCCTAACTTGTCCACCAACGTGCTTAAAATAAAAACGTTGTACTCCTGCACTGCCTACTTATTTGCCACCTCACGGTTATCTAAAATAAATTGTCCTGGGGGTTAGTCGCAAGCGCCTTGGTCCGAAATAATCGTAATGGCGGGGTGTTATAACACTCAAGTAGGGAAGCCAAACCAATCGCAAGTGGATATTGGAGGTGTCTACGTTATCCCATGCTATCGAAGTGATAACGGTGCCCGTCCGTTGTAAGTTTTCCTGACAATCACTTGTTTCTGGCCGGTAACAACCTCTAGAATGAGAAGGGACACCGTCTCACATGGTGTCCGCCGACATAAACCGACGATAGGCACAGATAGATAGTGTCGCCAATAAGCCATCGCCGAACAGGATCGGTAGGGGATTGACGCCGCTTCTGGAGTACCTGTTTGGACTGCGGTCTTGCGTCAGAAAGGGCTGGTGTAAGTTCGTGCCATGATGATCCCGGGAAACGGGCGATAGCAGTGCAACTTTATGCTCGATTGGAAGACGTGGACGCTACGTACTTAACTAGAGGGTAGTAGGCCAGGAGTTTATCTGAACATCACAAGAACGCCCTTCCTGAGGAAACCTGGCGTAACATTAGGTTTGCTGTAGGAACAGCGGTGAAGACAGTTGGTATCCTACACCCAAACGTCGGTGAACACCACTGGATTTCCGCGAGGTCATTTGAACTGACTGATACAAGAATGCTGGTTCCAAATGGCTCTGACCAAGATAAAGAGCATGAGGAGAGAAAGCAGCTGGAGCGTAAGTTTACCAGGAGTCTTTGTGTCGACCTCCGGTAGCGGTGAGTGATGAAAACAAGAGAGTTAGAGAAGGCACCAGCTACTGGTAATACCTAGCAACTGCTTAGGCCTTTTAAGGATGTCTGCAAGAAGAAGACGACGGTCAGAGGAACAATCACTGAAAAGGATGGACCTGTGGTAACTCTTTAGGACAGGCAGGCAGCACGTTGGCAGAACACCGCAGCCCACTCCAAACTGCCAACGATAACGCTTCATTCGCCAGACATCAATCTGAAAAGATATAGATGTTGGTTCTCCAAATCTTGAAGTTGAGAAGGCCGCACTGAGGCAAAAACAATAGAAAGTGGCGGAACCTCAGGGGTGCCCACTCTCACTGCTCCTGTCAAACTTAGTCGCAGACGTACCGCAGGGCACAACCTTAGGTACGTATAACTTCACACTGGTTAATCTACTCATTGGGGGTCATCTGGTTGCCCTGGAATATGCAGACGACATATCTACCTTCAGAGTGAAGACTCTGACCAGGCACAGGGTCTTCTGAATGCGTTGAGCGGAAATCCGAGTATGTTTGGCATTCATCTCGCCCCTGTGTTATGTAAGACGATGCTCCGGGACTCGTCCACTGCAACTACCTCCAGCACAGTGATGGGGGGTCCAAACATATATATGCGTCTATGTGCACATATACATCCCTTAATTTACAGGTACGCGCCGTTTTTAAGGATACCAATAAATCTTTGTGTAATTTACGTGGTACTTTAGAGCTAGTAATTTTAACTGCTTGAATGGCTGTGCTTCATTCTAATGAAATATCGGATGCCAGCAGAATAAGTATGCATAACTTGACACTAGGGACGGTTGGAAGCATTTTCCTCATGTTAACAAAAATACCAAGGCTCGCGATGAAGTATTACAGGAATTACCTGGAAAAAGAATAATGCACGAGGCTCTTACTTGCACCGTCACCTTCGTGATATTTTGTTTACCAGTATTTATGAAAAGCTCTCGCATGAGTGAATTCATATATCT